TTTAGCGTTAGTACTTCGTTTATTAATCTCTATTACAAGTATATAAGAACTCGGAATTGCATGTTACTGAATACATGTAAGATAATAAAGATTTCTCACTCGCTACAGAAACAATAATTTATTACCCTAGAGGAGTACAGTTAGTGAGTGTCTAGGAGAGTTAATGAAATTATATAAAACAAGTGATGTATTACTTAAGGTGAAACTAGTAGGCGTAATACAAAATAATTCCCTAAGCCAATTGTTCGCCAAGGTTACCTTAACACGTAAGGTGTACACTGTCTGCGATGTTTTTAATATTATTGCATGTATTGGAGATTTATGAGAACTATAAATTTTTACATCGTATACAAATGATGATGGTAGTTTTCCTTTAATTATTTCCTGGAATAATCTCAAGTTAATAGGTTATACATAAGGTAGTGATGCAGATGGATCTACTTATATACCTGTAACCCTTAATTTCGAGATATACAACTAAGTATTAAGTATTCCCTCGGAGAGTGATGTCCAATACCGATCTACGCCTGTGACATAAGAGTAAGATCTGCCAGCCAGTAACATACTAATTATTTTCCAGTCAATAGATTAAATTTCAAGCTCCTTGTTCGTTACAATTAATAAAATAATTTGAAAAGAGTTGACTTATCTACGTTATTTATCATTTTTACTTCAACTTCTTATTTTATATTTGGCATTCACCTGTTTATGATCGTACTTGATTTCGTTCCAAGGTGCTGGTTTTGTGCCAAAGTCGAGAAAATTGTTTACATCTAAATTTTATTGAGCATATAGATTAGTATTTTTATAATGTGAGAATAAGCATTCAAATATTCGCGAGAGAAATACTTTGTTAAAGAAACGTGTTTTCCAAAAGAAATATGTCTTGAAACTGAAAATTGCCATACATTCATGAAGGTTTGGGTTTGTTTTTGTGGTAGAGCAACACTATATTACTGGAATAAATTTAGACTCGGGCAAAGACAAAATGTTTTAATAAACTTTGGTCATAAGGTGACAAGGGTGTCAAATGACTTTCTACCTTTCGATCATCTTTCTCCCATAATGTCTTTCACCATCGAAATTAGCTACATTCTATCACAATCTCTGACCTTCCATGATACTTCTAAATTGAAAGATGAGACTTTAATTAATAAATTAAGAGGCTTAATTTGATTTTCAATGACAATTAGTACTGACTTCAAATCGCTGGAAGGTACATAGGCGTATATATTAAGGTGAAGGTCGAGTCATGAACCGGTATATTGCAATCAAACTTGGCCTAAAGGTGAGAGAAGGATATAGGTAAAAAGAGGTATATAGAGATGAGTCATACATACACGGAACTAAGTGGCTGGCTATATCATTTCACTTGTATATAACAACCTTGATTCTATCTTGTTTATGTTTATGTCGAAAACCTGTACTTTTTTCTGGGATTGTCTCAGACAGTTCTTCCACTGTTCAACGTCGCTGCCTGGAGCTTTATAAGACACTTGTGTTTGTTATTGAAGCATCATTTTATTGTTAGAACGGAGGTTATCTCAGTTTTGTCTATAAAAGCCTGTCGTTCTCTTTGTCTATGCCATAGTATTGGAATATGTTGGAGATTCTGGATTTGAACAGTGTATTATAATATATACTACAATTTATACTATTGATTATCAAGAGTATAGTCTTTTTCTCCGTAAAATTTACGTTTACGAAACTGTGCAATTGAATCATAAGTAAAGACAAAATACATAGTAGAGAGAACCAAAAAATCAATACACAATGTTTATATCTGAAGAACAGAATGGCTTCATGTGTACTAAACTGTTGCACTTGAAAATAGTGTTGATGTGATCAACTGGATTTTTTTTATGTGTGCAGTACTTGACTTACAAGTGATAAGCAAAATCCCCAATTGATCTGCGTGCTAATATGTTTTGCCTTGAACTTTTTGTAAATTCAGTGTAAACTCAAAATCTTGGTGCGACCTTTTTTTTATATGCACAGTGCTTCTGTTACTTCTGACAAACAAGATCCCGATTAAGTGATCTTCGTGCCCAGATCTGTTACGCTGAACTTTTCTTATGTTCAGTAAGAATACAAGACCTTGGTGCGATGCAGGTTTTGGATTATTTGATGTGCGCATTACTTAGATACTAGCTAGAGCTCACAGCAGTCCAACTGTTTCTGTATACGATAGAAATTATCAGATTTATGACTGGTTTAAATACAGTTCAATCTCATCACACCTGATACTTATGTTGATATCACCAAGCTATATTTAATACTTTTGTCTATATTGGAAATCTATCATTTTATGGATTAGTTATTGGTTTTCGCCACGTATTATCTTGTGTTACCAAAAGTAAGTCAAATATTTTTATTGTCATCTGTAGATTTGGCTTTGCTTATCTTGATTGGTTATAAGATTGTCTGGACTTACGACACATTTTTGTTTGAATGCAAAACATGAGGTTTGAAATTGTAGCCATAATGAATGGCTATAATTCAATAATAAAAATGCAATACTTTGATTATTTCGAAATTGTTGTAAGAAATTTCACATTAGGAGATTTAGGAGATATCTACCTATTATAAAGACATAACATAACATAAGGTCGTTGCTGATGTTACTGAGTTATTTGAAATTATCTCATCGCCATTGCTTGTGATTAAAACAGATCCGGTAATACTCGAATTTAATTTAATTTCCGAATAGTCCACAATGGAAATACGGAAATGCTCTTGACTTTTGCGTATACACAGTTATATTGTTATTTTTTTTATTTACTCAGTGCATCTTATATAAGGCCAATATCTGAAGTGGAAAAAAACCGCAACAACATAAACATGATAGTAGGTAACAGATTGTTTTACGAGACGAGACTTACTGATAAGAAAATGAAATGAAATGAATGGAGTTTTACGTCCTACTTTTCTGCACCACGTGGGCTAATGAAGACGGGGATCTTTAACGTGCACAGGGGACTTACTGATAAGAGAAATCTTAATAATTATCTAACATGATAAAAGACAACCAGTCGGAACCTTCTAATGTACATGCATCTTAAAGTTGTCTGGTTCATCTTTAAATAACTTTCATTCCAATTCTTTGGGTATCTTTCTTTTTAAAAATCTAAGTGTATAAATATAAAAAAGTTAATATCTAGACATATCTTATAATAATAGTCAAAATCTAGATATTTAAAAGTAGATATAAGTGTAGTTAAAATCTAGACATATATCATAATAATATAATTAAATTCTAGACATTTAAATGATAAATATAGCATAGTTAAAATCTAGATTATCTAATAATATCTAGAAATCTTGATATTTAAAGGTATATAGCGTGGTTAAAATTCCAAATTCTAGATAGCATAGTTAAAATCTAGATGTATATATATCCTATGGTTCTAGTTGGTGTATCGATCACGTATTAAACTTTACATGTAATATCTGTAACATATGGCTCAGTTTCATAATATCATAAAAAACTTTTAAAAATAATTTTTGGAGACTTGCCATTTAATAACACCTTTTTGATGTTTCGATTTACTTTCTAAAGGCAAGAAATAACTATCACGAAAGTCCATAATAACTAAGGTCCATTGTAGATATGAAAGAAAACATTCAAATATATTGAATTTGAAGCTATGCATCCGTATTCTATTAAAACACTAGGCCTCCCGGTCGGAGGTACCTCATGGAAGGTGCCTTTAATTCCTTCTATAACTATAATGATTCAAGCAAGGTTTTTGTCGAGATCTTCATACGAGCCGAAGTTCTGAGTGAAATTTGTGAATCGTCAGTTTGCCAAGCTTTAAGTCGATTTAATAGTTTTTAACTTTAAGGTCATAAGTGGTAATTTCAATATAGAGTTAGATACTTTTAATGCGCATGTGTACACTCATTTTGAACCCTTGGCCTTGGATAGATTTACAATTATTAAAAGGTCATATATGCATTCATTCATTGACAATTAACAGGGCCTTTTTTGTAAATATGACCTCTCTGGTGTGAAGTGCCACTAATACTAGATGGTGAATGATTCTCTCGGACAAAGGCTGACTGACAATATGTTTGTGAAAACATGCTATCGACATACATGTACATGCTTCTAACCAACGTTAGAAGTGCGCAATGTGAAAAGTAACTAAATTAGGTTCTAAGATATAGAATTTTAAAAGAGTCTTTAGCTGAGTATTTCTGTATCTTCCAATATCTGGACTGCAATCTAACTTCACTAACCCAGCAAAGAATTACAAGTCATGGCAATACTAGATGTTGTCATGAATAAAGAAGATCAAGTTCATATTCAGGGCATATTCTCCTTATCAAAACCATGCAAAAGGGTTTTATAGTATAAGTGGGTAATATCCCCTTAATAAGCTTGATCAATTCATTCCTATGTTACTTTCTGTAAGGACTAATGATGAGATTACTTAAATACTTCTTGGATAAAAAAAGAATGAACGTCCTTGACGTCCCATGTATCTTCGGGGATGTATTAGTGAATACGTTTCAATTTTGATAAATTATAGTCAAGAGAGATCATATAAAACAGCGGAGACTTGGTATTTAATTTTCATACTACCTATGATGTACCTATCATAACTGTCCTCTTTTATATTCCAAAAGTCATATAACACATCGATTGTTTCAAATTCTCTTAATGATAATGACCGGAGACAAGTTTTAACGAATTTGAAAAGTTCAATGAAAAGGTTCTTTACCATTTTTACTCAAATTTCAGCGCATCCTCAGAGTTAGCTTCTAGATCAAAATCTACAACACTGCTAATCAGTTTAAATTTATCAACGTTATGAAATAATTATTTTCATTTTCATGGGCCACCATTACTCAATCGAAGAAGGAATTACGTGTATAACAACTAAATTTGATTTTGTTTTAAACATTTATAGCTTTGCTTCGTAAATTTCAAAATTTCTATTTATATTTTCAGGTTTAGGAGTGTTTAAAAGAATCGATACAATATTGGAATAAATCGGACACAAACGGCTGATTTCAGTTGCCAAATTGGTCGACCATGATGATGGCGACACCCCCAAAAGTTCACGATCCCTTATACAATTTTGAGACTCATTTTCCAGAAAAGTTTTCACGTCTCCACCTCCATGGTGAATCTTCCGGATCATTTAAACGAACAAAGCGAAAGCCTAGAACTGCTTCTCGATACAAAACACAGCCAATAACATTTGATGAGATACAGGAAGTGGATGAACCTCCACCGGCTGAGGAGCAAAAAACGCCAGCAGATAATCTTAAAACTTTTCACCAACCGTTTTCTCGATCTATTGATGGGTTACTGCCCAAAGTGCTCGGTCCTCGTGTCGAATCGGGATTATCAAAAGAAGCCCCTGCCTGCGTTATGAAGCGAATGAGTCCTTTAAGGCTTCCAGGAAGCGGTAGTTTCAAAGCCAAATCACCAATACCAGAATTAGAAGAAAGGCTAAAGGGAGAAGACTCGGTTTCTCCTTCATCGGAAAAATCTCCAGGTTTCAAACAGGAGAAAAGTCCGACAACCTTATCGCCGGGTAATACTACCAGTCCTCAAAAGTCACCGACTCCGTCACCAAATATGGCTCCCCGCAGGCAAAAAGTCACCGCTAAAGCGAAAAAGAGGCAAAAGGCCGATGGAAAAGACAGAGAAGCCACATAAAACAAGTTCAGATGATTTAACTAATGAATCTCACAAAACGTTTATTAAGCGCTATTTTATTATATGCGTCCTTGTGTGCCTGCCAGGGCCCTGTGCCTAAATATTTTTTACATTTATATGGATATGAATTTTATTGTGGATTAAGTTCTTCGACAGAATAGAGAGGATAATATTTTTACGTTGTTCAGTTTGTGTTCTGTAAGCTTCAATAGAAGTTTAGTTTTGCTATTTTTATTATGAATATTATCAATATTTACATTGCTGTGTGTAGAGTGCTGATAAATGATTCATAATGTGTAGGTTACAGGCGTATATATTTATTTCAAACCTGGTTGAACTATTCGGAAGTTGAATATGCCAATTTGAATCATTTCTTGTGAACACTTTATACATTTGGTTTAAATATCCAAATGTTGCTAACGTGTGGATTCAGAAAATGTTAGATTGCCCGAATCTCTAACCTAGTTATGAGATTTTTGCCCGAAAAACTTGCTTTCGGGGGCTGCTTTGGCTCGGTCTCTGATTATCAAAAGTATTTATTTTCAACTTACACGTAGATTGATGAGGTCAACTCGTGATTCGAAGAACATAATGGCAGAATGTTTTTTTTTTTCAGTGTCATTGTCATTGCATCTGGCGATTGATCAGATTCTCTCAAGCGTTGTCAGTGGGGAGCAGTCGTTGTAAACCCCGTCGCAAAATTGGCACAGAGTGGCGTAGAAATTATCGCTGTATCTGCAGTGATTATTTTTGCTTGTCTGTAATTTTTTGTGTGTGCATTAATCAGATAAAACAAAGCTGTCTTCCGTCACCTTGGGTCTGTCTTACCCCTGAGAACCTATTTTATGAACAATCTAGGACTTTAGGTCCTGTGCTAGGTAGATTTATTTATTTAAAGGGCGTGGCACGAGTTTTCTGTCAATTCATGGTCAATCATAGTATGCAAAATTGATTCAAATCCGCAAAATTTCACTACACAATACTCTATGCTGTGGTTTCGATCTAGAAGTCTTTTTAAATATTCATGGTTGTCACATAATATGATTTCGACTTGTGGATTCCAGATCATGTGATCTGAAAATCGTTAAGACCACAAATGGTTTTAGACATTGCATCGTTTAGAAGCAGAGGGGCGGGGGTTAGAATAAGACTGTTGCTAGAAGATAAATAACCTCGATAGCTCGATGGAGTTTATAAAACAATGTTTGGAGTCTGAAAATATGGATGTGGCAAACTTTTCGGGGCGGGGGCTTTGCAACTGTTGGCTACTAGGAAAATCTGATCAATCGCTGAATTTGTTGATATATTGCTACCTGATGCCATCGGATTTGCAGTTGTTCGCAATCTTTAATTTTCGAAATAAGCTCGGACGCTGTGAATTATCAGCCCCAAGTCATAAACAATCAAGTATGTCCGACTCTTTAACCATCCTGTGTATATTTTACTTATTACTATTGTGCAATATTATATTTGGGTTCTTGTAAATCTTAGTTGTTATTGTCAAAATGTAAATAAATTTATTTAACTACTAAATATTTTTCTTGACATATTTTTAAATCTGGTACCACATGAAATGTAATGGAGCCCAAGTCCAAACAAATAGTCGCACTAAAAAAAAAACATCTAGTGCATACAAGAGATTACAGATTATTTTTTGGGTTGGGTTTCTTTATTGGAGGACTCTTGATGAAAAATTGTGATCTACAATTTAACATGTGTGCAAAGAAGAAAACAATTTATCATTATCACTGTCGATTGACGAAGCTCTTGTAGTAACATTTACTGTAAAGAAAAAACACCATATTTGGTTCTGCCAAATTCTTTTGGAATATTGCATGCCTTAGTCGAACTCACATTTCAGGACTCAAACAGATGGAGATCCATAGGACATACATCATATATACACACGTAATTTCATCATTATCCATACAAAATATACAGTCAATTTTAACTTAACCATTGATTTCTACTGGTCTGACTTTTTTCAGACATTAATTTCTTCTTATATTTATTTATCAGTTGATCAAAATCATCTCGAATTTCACCAGCTTGTCTTCTTCTTTTCTTTATAGGTTCCTGAAAGTACATAAAAGTGCACTTGATTCTCATAATACCATGAGATAAAACTTAATAACGAACACTTACAAATCACAACACATAAAATTATAAGGGGCCTTACACCATAGCATCACCAGTTGCTTATGGTAGTGGAAAAATATAAGGGCATAAGTTTCGAGCGCAACTCGGTTGAATGAGAATTGCGTTCGGTACTCATGGCTACTTTAATTATTCGCAACCATACGCAACTGGTAATCACTGTGGTGTGAGAACCTTTATATAGTGGTAAACTGTAAAACTGTTTATATAATTTGTCATCTTCACAATGTCAAGCTTCCTCATGTTAATCAGATCTGTATTCACTGGTGTACAAACCAATCAAATCGCTTCATTTACAAACTTCAATATTACAAGACAGGTGGCTATTGCAGTCAAGGTATTGAACAAAGTTCGTAATAGAATGACATTTTGAAGATAAGTTTTAAGAAAGAAACTATCTGATCACAATATATACAATTAATAGGATGAACTTTTTCCAATCATAACATATTCAATTTGTAGGGTGAACACTATCAAATCATAGCATATATAATTTATAAGATGGACACTATCGCTATCAAATCATAGCATATACAATTTATAAGATGGACACTATCGCTATCAAATCATAGCATATTCAATTTATAAGATGGACACTATCGCTATCAAATCATAGCAAATACAGTTTATAGGATGAACACTATCGCTATCAAATCATAGCATAATACAGTTTATAGGATGAACACTATCGCTATCAAATCATAGCGTATACAGTTTATAGGATGAACACTATCGCTATCAAATCATAGCATAATACAAATTATGGGATGAACACTATCGCTATCAAATCATAGCATAATACAATTTATGGGATGAACACTGTCTAATTATAGTATATACAATTTATGGGATGAACACTTTCAAAGCATAGCATATACAATTTATGGGATTAGCACTATCAAAGCATAGCATAGACAATTTATGGGATGAACTCTATCAAATTATAGCGTAATATACAATTCATGGGATGAACACCTATCTATAGCATATACAATTCATGGGAAGAACATTATCTATCTATAGCATATACAATTCATGGGAAGAACACTATCTATCTATAGCATATACAATTTATGGGACAAACACTATCTTATCACAGCATACAATTTATTTTATAGTATATACAATTTATCCTCTTATCTGTAGGATGAGCACTATCTGGTATATGGTATTGGTATAAACTGTTAACCCTATCTAATGATAAAGGAAACGTGTTTAGCTTGAATAATAATTAACAAATTTCTTGGCATCTAAACCTTTTTCTCTTTAAAACTCAGTGCCAAAACTATTAGTTAAATAACAAATGGTGTACTTTTCTACCAAATTGAAGAAAACTTCATTTGTTTCTCCCTGACCTACTTGGACAACTGTCAAAATCAACAAAATAATAGTGCCTTTAATTATAGGATATTTTTAATAAACCTTGTAACTAACTTCAGTAATGAAAAACAACAGGTCTTTTGAAAAATAATCTTTTGTTTGATAATGAGCAAATAATGTATTCCAAATTGGACCCAAATCAGTGTCAAGGTTATTAATTAGGTATCCTTCAAGAATACCAGCAAACACTATAGAGGTTACCCGAGAAGCACATAAGATATAGAACATCTTTGTTAAATGGGCAAAAATTTATGTTCTTCACAAAGGGGTACCAGTTGTTATCATACAAAAAATACAATTACAAAGCCTTAGAGAGAAAAACTAATTTAGAATAGTTTTTCAAATAACGTTGAGGATAATCAAGGACAAAAATTATAATTTGTTTTTTCAAAAAATTCAATGATGTAATATTTGGTAGTACAATTTTCAAGTTTATATTAAAGTTCTTGAGGTATGTGAAGACAGTAGAACCAATATTTTGAACAAATATACTGATATTTGGCACAGTTATCACAACAGAATGAAGAACTACTGATAATATTCATTATATGTTAGTGAATCAGATAAAAGATTGGATGCTTTTCATTTATGTGCATGGGAGTCCATACTGATTAAATTGTAGATCTTCTAGATTATCCGTTTCCCTTTTTATGCTGTACTCCACTATGATCTATGATCTGATGAAATTGTTATATATCACATGTTGTAAGTCATCAAAATATCTAATCAAATCTACCATCAAAAGTAAAACATGTAGCCAAGAAGTAACAGCAGCAGCCTCCTAGAGAGGGGGTTCAAATAGGGGACAGACTGACTCAATGGGGCGAAAATATTGTCAGGGTTGAATTTGAAATAAGGCAGACACAAGATTCCAATGAGACTGAGAGGAAAAATTTTTGAAAAATATAATTGATTCGGTACATTCTGACATACATATTATGGCAAAAAAAGATATAAAATTCATATTTTAGATCCTAGCAAGTCATTCACTTGTTCAATGGTGGAAAAAGAGCCTTGCCAGGTTCTTCCATGTTTTCTGTGCTAAAAGCTATTGAAATGATTAGACTTACCACATCACTGTGAGCAGGTTTTCTTTTATTTCCTGCAACTTGTTTAATTTGTTTAGAATTTCGACTGGTATTGACTGTTGGTCTTGCCTTGTGTCTCACTTTTGGTCCAAAATGTTTAGGAAAACCAACTGGGCCTGAATACAGTTTTTTAGCCACTCTACTTTCTTTTTCAACATTATCTAAATTTTGTTTAATCTTATTTGGTTTATCTGTTTTTTTAGTTTTTTGTTTAATATCTGACATTAAACTGCCCTTTTCTGCTTTATCTTTAGCTCTGCGTAATGATTCTTGTTTTGCCTGAAATTGAAAAATTAAAACAAGTGTTTAACGGGATAAAGCTATCTCATTATTTGCTTTATAAGTAGGTAGGTCTTATATCTAACTACCTGTGGTACTTTTCAGAATCAAATCTGAATCAAATTAGTCTTCATTAATCTAAAAAGAAACTGTAAGTGATGACAGTCTGCTTTCTCAACATTGATCATCTTTCATCAGCAATCGTAAGAGGGGCTGACATGGAAAAAGCGTCTAGCCGTTCGGATGGGACAATAAACCGAGGCCCTGTGTGCTACAGGCTGTGCATGTTAAAGATCCCTCGACAGTTGGAAATCGAAAAACAGCAGGCTAATGCCGCTGTCCTGGCAAAATTTCCCTCATTGCACGCTGTATGGTGCTGCCTGTCTTCATTAGCCCACATGGTGCAGAAAAGTAGGACGTAAAACTCCATTTATTTCATTTCATTTTTTTTTCATCAGCAATCAAGAAAATCCATTTACCAAGGGATGCAACACTTATTTGTAAACCAGACTACACCAAATTTCAAGAGTTCACTTATTAGTTTTTTGAAAGAAATAATTTCCCAGTGAAAATTTGATTACTGATTTCAATTTTCTTCAATATAAAATCAATAACTTCATTCAGAATTAGAGCATAAAACTTGATGAATAACCTACCTTTTGTCTGTCTAATCGTTTCTGCTTAGCTAATAAAGCCTGCTTGTTTTCTAAAGAGAATTCCACTATTAGCCTCTATAAAGATACAGAAAACATCTTTGCTTTATCTTTATTATCTATACTTTACTTCAAATGATATTGGAAAGTATCTTATTCAAAGAAGCAGACACAAATAATATTTAGTGAAAATATTTGATACGATTCTTGAATTAAACAATTGCATTAACAATTGCACAAACTGAAGTCACATTTCTTTGCACTACAAATAGTATTTACAAATTTTAAGAAGCTATTGAATATGGTCTTAAGATATAAACTTTATTATATTTACGAATATCATCAGTGGAATGGGGCCACTAAAGTCAATTTCTAAGACGCACACTTTTGAACATAAATTGATCATTTCAGGTTACAAATATAATATACTAAAACAAACCCTTTTATCTCCAAATAAATCTGGATTGTTGTTTGTTTCTCTCAATGCTTTTAAAGCATGTTCATGTTTGGTAAATTCTACAAAAGCATAACCTCTAGATTTAGCTACACCTTGACTGTTAACACGATCTAAATCTCTCATTACACGACACTGAAGGTATATAAAACACAATTATTCACAGTAAATATCCATAATGTCTTTACGATCAACAATTGGCTTTATGTTCATAAGTCATGAGGACTGTATGTTTGTAAGTCATGAAGACTGTATGTTTGTAAGTCAGTAGGACTGTATATTCATTAGTCATGATGACTGTAGGTTCATTAGTCATGAGGACTGTATGTTCATTAGTCATGAGGACTGTATGTTCATTAGTCATGAGGACTGTGTGTTCATTGGTCATGAGGACTGTATGTTTATTAGTCATACGGATTGTATTTTCATCAGTCATGAAGACTTTATTCTACAAGTCTCAAAGACTACATGGCCTTTTTACATCATAAATGGCTAAAATTTTCTTCGTCACAATGAACTATTTTCTGGAGTATTAATCATTTTAAATTCTGGTGCCATGAAAGCAAGGTTTCAAATCTTGATGTCTCTGAGTCATGATGGTTTTATGTTTTTGAGTCATGATATTTTTATGTTTTTGAGTCATGATGGTTTTATGTTTTTGATTCATGGTCGATATGTGCTCAAAATGACCGTCTATGTTCTGAAATCATGATAGATGAATATAGGCTAAAATCATTATTTCATACCTCTGTTATTTTAGAAGATTTATCATTTACAAGTTTAACCAGTAACTGTCTGAGTTTACTATCATCTATAGTTGTAGGTAGATTATGTACACAAAGTCTAGTAGCTGATACAAATACTGACGGATTCTTTAACTTCTGCCGTTTCTGAGCTTCAATCTGAAAATACATTGAACACTTCCATTATCTAGAATAAAATTGACTTATTTGTCCTACTTATTTAAATATTTCTGAGCAATGCACTGTGTAATTAGATGCAAGAACAGTGCCATTAGTCTACTAGCAAGTTAATCCTGCACAAATCTGTTTTCACGTACCAAGGGTCTATCTCTGTGACATGTATGACAAGACAATTGATTGTCGTTAAAAAAATCTCAAAACTACAATTTGAAAAAAAAAGCCAGAACAAAATATAGAGAATCCCAGCCCTGTTTGGAAATGCTTGGAATTGGAAAAAAATTTCGAAATTCACAGAAAACAATGATTAACATACCCTTAACCTTTTATTAACATCAGATTTCTCAAGACTTTTAGCAGCTTCAGTTCCAGGTCGAATATCTGAAAATAATAATCAACACTTCAATATTTCTTCTACTTGAAGGCTAATTGATACATTTCAACAGCTCCTGACCCTTCCCATCTGATACTGTACACACTTATACTCCCAGTCTAAAGGGATTGTAAAGGTGGTTTTATCAGGGATACAGATATCAATTTATTCGAACTTTCAGTCAGACATTTGTGGCTCATGCAATTCCACTAAAAGTAAGTTTTATATGATGTCACAATGGTAAAAGCGGCCATTTATATATAAAGGACCTTTTTAGTAGAATTTCAAAAACCACGGACGATCAGTTGAAAATTCGATCCTATGAGTATCTCTTATACACATAAAGTTTTTATAAACCTCTTTACAATCCCTTAATCTAATTTAGTACTTACAGCCTTCTCGTATCAAATATAAATTTCTTTTATCTTTTTTCTGTTTTTTCTCATCTTCCTTTTGTCTGTATTCTTCTGCTTTTTTTCTATCTACAGCTAAAGTTATTAATAACTTTCTACCATCCACTAACACACCTTCATTCTATAAACAAATAATTATAAATATATATTGAAAATCATCAGTTCAATTAGACAGTTTCATTTACTTGTAGACAGACCATAAATCAGATGTTTATTCTAATATAAGTTACTAGTAATTCAAACTTCTTTCGATTTAAAATTGATTTCTCTATCTTAATTGTAGTATCTATCAGTTCATGAAATAAGACATAGAAATATATTTACCTCTTTCTCCTTAGCAGCTTCTTCAATGAGATTTTTCGCCATTTCAGTTGCTCGAAACTGTGCAAAAGCTGTACCTAGAAAAAAACAGTTTTACCCTGTTCAAATAAACAATTGGATATTGAAAAAAAGGTTTTTCTGATAAATCAAATTAACGATGTTTTGAAGAACATAAGCACTGAACGGGCTGATATTTCACTCATTGCAAATGGCATGGCATTGCCTGTCTTTAAAAGCAGTCTTCATTCTCCATCTCTTTCCATATAACTTTGAAGTTATAAATGAAACAGATATTACCTTTAGAATGTAATGATAAGGCATCTCTTACTATCTTACAATATTTCACATCACCATATTCATTTAATACTTCTAATAATTTATCTTCTGTTGTATCAAATGATACATTTCTATATTTAAAATCAATACATAATCAAGATACGTTATTCATAGTCTTAAACAGGTAAATAGGAACAAAGATTATAATCAAAATTCATCTTAAAACCATTCCAAACATTAATTTTCAAAACAGACAATAAATAAATTTATAGATCAGCATCTCAAACACTAGATCTGAAAGAGGTCATCACAAGTAGTTTTTGACTAAAGTAATTTTGCTTCCATTACCATCATGATCCATTTGGTATTTATCTAGTATGTTCATTATTTTAGTGACATATTTAACCATAGCAAGTCAAAATTTGAGTACAATCTATAACCAACAAAATGTAGCAAGATATCTAAGAATTTGCCTCCAAACCAACCAAAGGGTACCAAAACTTATTGAAAAATACCCAGCTTAAAGTGAATTTAGATCCATTCTTGTACCTCATAAAAACTGTCTTTCCTTCATTAACATCAGAACTTTCTGTTTTCTTGCTGCCCTTCTCCTTCTTAACTTCATCAGCTTCAATAGAACTGTCATCATCATCTTCTTCATCATCATCTTCATCATCAGAAACTTCTTCAATTTCACTTTTACTGTCATCAAATCCTTCATCACTTTCTTCCGAATCTAAAATATAAGATTATCTACTGTTTCAAAAGTTGAAAAATAAAATTGACACTGTTATCAATTAATCAAATTCTTTGAATATTTTTATTCCAATTGTAATATCAGCTTCAAAACAGCTGACAGGCTAGTCAACTTTTTGCAATGATAAAAATTTGAATTTGATTTTACAATCTATCAATATTTTTCCCCAAGAAAGTAAAAAGAAAGTAGACTCTAAAATTGAAGAACTTGCATTTTCTGTTTTGCACAATGTAACCCACAAAATGAAGACAAAACAAAAAATTAGATTGACATAAATGTTACAATAACAATAGCTATTCCATTAAACTAGATGACCATAAATTTCAAACCTTCATTTTCTTCATCAATTTCTTCTTCTGATGATGTCTCTCCTTCATTATCATTTTCAGCATCAGAATTATCATCACCATCAGAATTATCAGATGCATCTTTGTAATCTTCCTTTTCTAACATCTCTTCATCCTCATCATCTGCATCCTTATCCTGGTCACCATCACCTTCTGTAATTATAGTAACATTAAATCAAGTTGGTATGTGAAAGTCCTTTAAATATAACCCAGCTGCAAATGGGTACAAACAGTCTTAAATTAAGCATTTTCAAGATAAGCTAAGCTGGAAAGAAATGAGCCTCAATTGTTCAATATGAATGCCATTCGTATTTACTTTATTTTCTCATTGTACATTCTATCATAAAAACAATTCTTTCATTAACTAATTCAAATTCAATCTTTCCTGTACAGGAAAACATGTATATAATATTTAGTATAGATATCAGTACCTGTTTGTTGTTTTTGTTGTTGTAAAGCCTGTTTATAATGATCTATTGATAGAGCCCAATCTACAGCCACAGGTCTTCCTAAAACAGACAGAATACAGTATTCATCAAATATTGTCAAATCTTAACTCAACCAAGATATTAATAATCTGTTACACATTTTCCAATTCTTTAAGACTTCTTTTCTTTCTCCTTTTATGACAAGATCTTAGAGTAACAAAAATAACTCATACAGATTTTTCAAAAGTATGCATAGGATTTCAAGAGATTTCAACTCTAAACACATGTTTTCAAACTTTTCAAGAGAAAAAAAAATTAAATTTACCTAATATATTTTGTCCATTCATAGCTTTAACTGCTTTATCTGCTGATACCAAGTCTCCTAACTGTACAAATCCAAAACCCTTCATTTTACCATCTACAAATTAATTGATATATGGACATGATGGTATAATAATTACTGTTACCAATTGATAACAAATGATAAAAATAGCTATCCATTTAATGTTTTTTTTTTACATATCTTCATGTTTATTTCAAGACAAATTGTTACATTTGTAAAATGAAAAGCTTTAACCAGCAGAATTGTTTCAAGCCACTATTATCATCCACTTAAGCAGATGTCAATGACATAATTACTCTGGATTTAAATTCTTACAATTGTATTGATGGATTTTGATTTTGGATTAAGCTCTATTAGATTGTTATGTAAATAATATCCATTTAACAACCTTGTAGGCATAAAAAAAATCATCACATTCTAATTAAGACAATTATACAGACCTTCTTTAGTGGGTATGTTAACTTCTACAACTTGTCCAAACTTAGAAAATATCTGTTTTAAGGTATCAATCTTACACTATAAAAACCACCCATAAAACTTTATTAAAAATGACAGATACTGGTATATCAATAATTTTGGTGGGACATTAAAGGGACATTTAAGCAATTTTACAGCATGAAAAGTCAGTTATATCACCCGAAAAAGAGAAGAGTATGTGTATATTCTTTTGAAAACCTAATCTTCAAAATTACAAAATATGAAGACGTGTATATCTAAAAAAAAAAACCACAACACTGTAGTGACAAGCTACAGAATCTGCTCTTCTTGGTGGTTTCTGCACATAAGCTGAAGACAATTCACTGCAAAAACAGTGTAACATTGTGATTTGTCAAAGTCAGAGTAGCCACATATATTTATTATTTTAGACTTCTTATAAGATATAAATATCACTTTTTACCTTAAAAGAAAGATTTCTGATGATCAGACGACATCTCTTTATATCACGAGGTAATTTCTGATGTTCTGATAACTGAATAGCTTTTATATCTATTCCTAAAACAATAGTTTTGATTGATAAGACCTTATCTTATGCAGCTGACAGCTGTGAATATATATTCACATTAGGATAGCTGATCTGAATCTTGAAGCTGGGCATCAACACTTTTAAATTAGCAATGTAAGCTAAAAAAAAATACCGATTAACCCCTTATACATTAAAATCATCTTGACAAAACATTATCAAACACTTGTGATAAATAAAATATATTTCAACTACATATCACAAATTTACTATTTACCACAGCTGAAGAATATAATATTACACTTACCATTTATATTTGTATTATTTAATTTTCTTTCAGCCCTTTTAGTGTCTCTAATTGATTTAAATCTCAGATGAACATTGCCAACTTCTTGTACAGGGTAAATTATTTTAGATAAAGTCTTCACATCCCTGATAAATAAAAGAAATATCTATACAAAACATCACATAAAATTGTGGCAGCTGAAACAAAAAATAAGTAAGTGAGTTAGTATAATAAATACATTAGAGACCTGTATGTAAGTATAATAACTAGTTACTTAACTGAGATAAATGAGAGACCTTTGTTTAACTAGAATGACTATGTACTTACTTAGAGACTTGTTTGTAAGTATAATGACCAGGTACTTACTCAAATAAATTGGAGACCTGTGTGTAAGTATAATGACTTGGTACTTACTAAAATAAATTAGAGACTTGTATGTAAGTATTATGACTAGGTACTTACGAAAATAAATTGGAGACTAGTGTAAGTAAGTATAATTACTATGTACTTACTTGAATAAATTGGAGACCTGTGTGTAAGTATAATTACTAGGTACTTACCATAATAAATTGAAGACCTGTGTGTAAGTATAATTACTAGGTACTTACTTCAATAATTTGGAGACCTGTGTAAGTATAATTACTAGGTACTTACTAAAATAAATTGGAGACCTGTATGTAAGTATAATGACTAGGTACTTACTAAAATAAATTAGAGACCTGTGTGTCAGTATAATGACTAGGTACTTACTAAAATAAATTAGAGACTTGTATGTAAGTATTATGACTAGGTACTTACTAAAATAAATTGGAGACTAGTGTAAGTAAGTATAATTACTAGGTACTTACTTGAATAAATTGGAGACCTGTGTGTAAGTATAATTACTAGGTACTTACTTTAATAAATTGGAGACCTGTGTGTAAGTATAATTACTAGGTACTTACTTAAATAAATTGGAGACCTGTGTGTAAGTATAATGACTAGTTAGACCAGATACAACCAGTGTAATAGAACGTAAGTATTTTTTCTCTTGGTTAGATCTCTTTCTTTCTTCTTCAACTTCAGTTGACGGAATTTGCTCATCTAAAATTAAAAAATAAACATGTAAAAAAGATATGGCCAAACTAAAATCAGTTTGTAGAAAAATAATCCTGTTTGTTAGAATTTATCATATCAATTGTTGAAATAATATTTCTATACATATAATGATTTTTATATTAAAAGCAAAACAAACCTTCCCCATCTGAATCTGGTTTTTGTTTTCTCTTTTTCTTTGTGGGTTTATCGTCTGTAATTTTCTTCTTATCAGCAGAATGTGTGAGTAACCTTCTTCCATTAAGGAATATCTTTTTAGACTGAGCCTTTACTGCATCTTCCCTGATAAAATATATTTTGAACCATAATTCTTATAATGCATAATAGCACTAACATACAAAAACAATACATAATACACCTTTCTAATAACAAATGAATATGAATTATTAGACAGAAACATCTGCCTCTCTTTCAGCCACTGATAGCTATTTTGAGAGATTCAGAAACTAAAAGTAACTATGTAAAGTCAACAGTAAAACTCCTTAATTTCCTAATCGCCCATGATTTCACTATTACAAAATTCAAACATCTTATGACTTGTGACTTACAGAAGAGAAAATTTAACATAACCATATCCTTTACACTTCTCTTCACCTGTAAATTAAAGACAGAAATATTAACTCTTTCAACCCTATAGGCCAGTATAATTAAGCAATATATACCCAAGCGGATTGAAGTGACTGTTAGCAAGTGTCTTCATATGCTTTATTACCAAATACATAACATATTATTTCATTTACACTCAGTGTTAAAAGGGTTAAGTGAGGTTTGTAATTTCTGGGAGGGATAAGGAAAAAAAGTAGGCCTATGAATGATCTAAACAGCAAAATGAAACTCAAAATATATTGAACTATTCATACGTGGTGTAACCTATTTTCGTGCATCTCAACGCCGAATTTCGTCAAAGTTAAAAAAACGAAAATATTTTTTTTATGTCTTAAATGTTTCCTCAAAATAATCAAAATTGGTTTATTTCGATTTTTGACTTTGACCCATGTTTCATGAGTAACCAACTCGACAACGGCAGCAAAATGCGTCACCTACTTTCATGTACAATGTTCAATCTATAAATTAGTCGAGAAAATGTTGCATGGATACCCAGTGGTATAATAAACTTTTCTTAGTACCGGTATTCATCTTTACAATATTTCAATAAAACTAGTGACAATTCCCTCAAAGAACCATGATTTAAAAAAAATAATGACTGACAAAATATGATACGTAGCGTGATTTATTGCTAAAAGTCATTGAAACAACATAAGAATATGGCCCACATTGTGTTCCATATAATTTTTCTGCTGCCACAGAATCTGCTAGTTGATCACGTGACTTTATTCGTTGGTCTACATTCTAGCAGACAACACTTGGAATTCCGATTACAGCTAGGGATTACAAGGGAATTCTGCCTATAAAAAATTGTGACTTTTTGTAATAACTGAAATCCGCCATTATGTATTTGTCAAAGTATACATTAATACATTTTACCTTGCTTCAAGCTACTCTACTAGCTGACATTGTACAGATAAACCATGTTTATAAAAACAAGGAAATGCAGAGGTCTCACATGTAAATTATTAATCATTTCCAGAGATGCACGAAAAATAGGTTAGCACGAAATTAGGTTACTTGACTGTATCACTTCATCCTGTGTCTAATCCAGTGGTATCAGGTGTCTAGAAGTGTCCTACTGTCATTGATACTTAATATTACAAAGTATATTTTTAAGAACAGAAAGTCTTTATAAAATAATCAGTAGGCCCACAGTTTATATTACAATATTACAATTTTGTATAAAACAAATTTAGATTTAGGATTTGTCAACAAACTTGCGAAAACGGTAATAAACAGACCGTTTTGTTTGACAAATCTTGAGTATTGTACCTTTCTTTCTCACAACAAAACATCTCTGCACTGGCCCAATTTCATTAAATACATTCTCGAGTTGCTCATCGGTTGCTGTAAAGGGAAGATTTCGAACAAATAATGTTTTAGATTTTCCATGTGTGTCATTAATGGAGGCAGCCATGTTGGAAAGATGAATAACTGTTGAAAGTGTCGCGTACATATAGATTTTGGACTGCTATTGTAATGATAGGCTACTGAGTACTTTTACATCAAAATTATCATAAATTATTGTTTTTGTATGTGATGAATTTTAATACTGAAATAAGACAAAAAATACACCTTTGACTTTAAATCCACCAAAAATGTGTTACAACCAAAATTTCAATTTTAGACGTCAAGGGCAGGTCATTACACTTCCAAGTTTATGTAAACCAGTAAACAAGTCAATGTTTTCGTATCAAAAACCCAAGGTTTGTATACATTGTTAGCATTTTCGTAAATATTCTTGTTTCACCATAGATTAGTCATAACATTTTCTATATGGATTTCGATTTTTAGACCCATTACAAAGAATTCATCGAGAAATCATTAGTGAGGTTTCATAACATATTTAGTCTACAGACTACAGTCCACAAATAATATTCTTTGGATTACACAAGAAGTCGGAAAATTGCTTTCTTCTTCACGAGTTCCTGATACACATTTTCGATTGCTGATGGCTGATGAAGAAACAAAAGCCATATTTCGACTTTCTACATCTCTGTAGTGTAGGCAGTTTAAGAATGATATTTAGCCACTTTTGAGGTTACACTTACTGTAACTCCAATCTGAAGGTCATCATTAAAATGGAAAATTTTGGAGTTGATATCATACCATTAATAATAGTCAAAGTCATCTGTGTTTGTAGTTCAAAATTTCTAGGGAAAATTAACTTTCATTCCTTAAATGGTTTGATGGTAAGTGTGGAGGTATCACACTATGATGTTATATCTAAATTAGGAACACTCTTTTTGAAAAAATGACTTTTTTAAAGAATATCAATAGTGGTGTTATTTTTCTGAAAAATGTGATTCATGGTGTTTTTGGTTTTTTTTTTTTTTTAAATATCATGCTAATGAAATGTTCTGTTATTTTAATACTGGTACTGATATTTATATATTTATAGTGATAATTGATCAAGATGAAGAGATATCAGTTAGAATTACTGAGAATGGTACTATATACAAGCTTTCCCATTGTAACATTTTACATTTATAACTATCCACCTGTATATGATTATTGTAGTGATATCAAATTTTTTGAAGAAAAGCAAGATTGGCTTACCATGAAAGAAATGATGGAAAATAAAACAAATCCTAAACAGGAAAAGAAAAACTGAATTAAATGTGGAACTGAAATTTATGTGCAACTTTAAAGTAACACTGATTAACAGATGTTGAGTTTATAAGACTGTAAGGATGTCCCCTTTCTCATGGTAGTTAACAAGGTGATGGTCCATTGTTGTACAAAGTTTGTTTGCTGTGTATTTTGTCTTCCATGCAATGTAATAAACCAAACATTCATCGATTTTATTTTACAATAACAAACTATTCAATGGAAAGGATTTGAAATGGGTTTAATGAACAATATTCAATTTGCTATTTATATGGTCATTGCCAGCGGGCAGAAATTATAACAAGAGTCTTTCGTGACAAAAAATCAATATATTTATCTCATATGTGAGATCTCTATAATCATTTTGTTGTTGACAAAAGGTAGAAATTCATTAATATCTCATCATTGTACTGTCAGTTATTTATGCTGAGTTTTCCACAATTTTTTTTAAAATAAATAGCAATAACCCAAATAAATCAAATTATAAAAATCACCAATTTGAAAGCATATCTTATTAAGGTAAACATAAATTCTCTGACAATTTAAATCCTAAAACATATTTCTACATATATAACTGTTCACATTGAATTTTGCTCTTCAACACGTATTGTTAAAAAAATGTTTTTTGTAATAGTTTCAAATATTTATACACTTTGAAAATGGAGGAATAAAAACATATAATACAATACAATTTATTGTTTTACGTTTGATTAAGCATCCCTGGTTTGACGTGATAGTACGAAATTGATAACATCAATCTTCAAAAATTCATCTTATGCGAAATATACCAGTTATTTGCACTTCTTTGACCATTTTCCAAAAACAAGTTGATGGTATGTAAATTTATCATAATATTTCACAAGTTTTATAAATGGGGAGATTTGATTGAACCGTTATTGAGTAATAATCGCTCTTGACTTAGCCAAAATATCTCGTCAATGGAATAGTACTATTTTGGTATTAGATTGTGAAAGCCGACACCTACTGCAACAAAGAGACTGTGTTCCAACCCAGCGTTGAGGAAAGTATTGACGTTTGCACATTTAGTAAGATTTTGATGAAACTTGGCGTGTATGTTAGCTAACATCGATAATATCAAGAACGAGTGGGAATACAATGTACTTGAAGGCCAAAGTGATGAATTAAAATTGAAACATAAACTAGATATTTTTTCATCCGCCAATTTATTTTCAGCCAAGATCTGTCATCCGTGTAGTCAGCCAACTTTGTAATCATCCAAAAAAAAACATATCTTCAAGACTGTCAAAAAGGGAAATCAGCTAAAATATTTGACATATTATTGTATGTATAAGTATTTTTTTTTTGTATGAACAGATGAAACGTCTATTCATATAATGCTTTCATGTGCACAAAACAATTAGGTTGTGGTAGTAGAAATTTCATCTGGTGGTCTACATTGGTTGCCAGTGTTTCTGTTTTCACCGACCTCGCGACCTACAGGTCCAATCACAGATAGAATCGCAGGTAATAGCAACATAGAATGAGCTAGTCCAAAACAAATTACGACCACCATTACGATCAGAAAAGCTCTTAAGACGTAGGACTGTGAACCAGCCAAAGCTAGTACTCCTACTAAAGATGACAGACCGGCATTGACCACAGGCGATGCTGAGGTCTTTACGGCATCTAGAGTTTTTTCTTTACGAGTTGGTTTTCCAGACGTGACAAATCCGTGACAGACATGAACACTGAAATCAACTGAAAATCCAACACTCATAATAAGGTCAATCATTGTGATTGAGCTAAGGGTCAAATCACAGATATAGAGAAAACCGAATATTCCCAGCGATATACTTAACATGTTAACTGTTACTAAGACAACCATTACAGGATGCGGCATTAATAGCAATGTAATCACAAACATACAAATAATAGCAATCCCAACTGTTAACAGGGTACCAGACAATATAGATACGTACTGCTCCATGAAAATAAAGACTGGGTTGAAAACAAATACATTAAGCTCTGATGCATCAACGAGTTCCCTTACTCGTAGCATAAATTCGCCCTGGGCAGTTGTATCTCGTATGTTCTTTGAAAAAACATAACACCTTGATGCCTTGATTAATGTTCCATCTGGGGAAAATTCGACATCATTAGTTACGTGAGGCACTGATGGTAAAAATGATTGTAAATTTGACAGGAAAGCAGAATTGGAGCTTGTGTTGAAGTAAGCACTATTGGCAAATAAATGATACCAACATAATGATGAATTATCCTTGATTGTAGATTCAGCTTCTAGAGTGTATAACAGTTCTGTCATGGATTGGATATTACCCGCATCTAGATAATTCATCTGCTGAAAGACAACTGACAAAACAAACGTATCTTCAAAATTCTCAGTATTCCACTTGAAGTATTTCTGAAAATACGAATCATCGCTGACAAGATTATTTAGCACAAGCCCTTGCTTAAGATTCAAACATCCCCAAATTGAGATAGCAATATAACCAGCGAATAGTACTGATATAATACATTTGCTTACTGGGTGCTGCACAAATGCCGACAAAATCTTTCTGGGAATATTTTCACAATAGCTTTCTTCGTCTGTACGTTTTGTTGGTTGAGATCCAGAACAGACAAAAGAACGACATGACTTTTCTTTTTGAGGATTCTGTTCTACAGGGGTACAAGTCACACAATGGCGATTTTCTCGTACTCTTTTGCCATGGATGGTTAAGCATCCCAAAAAGAAGGTCATATGGCAGACGTAACTGAACAGCAAAGCAACACCTGAAAAAAGAAATAGATAGGATCATAAGAAAACACAATAATGATTTCAAAACATAAGCAATTTTATCACAAATTAATGGATTTGAACATTCGTTTATTTTTCAGGATCAATATTAATCCAACTCATTTCAGCAAATTGTCGTGGCTATTCCACTACCGTGTATTCTTACCATTCAACAACACAATATGACCTTACTTCGTCATTATTCTGCCATATTACAATCACCATCTAAATGTAGATGTATATTTCATAAATTAAATACATACCGGTATATGCGCAAAAATTTCTAATACTTTGAAACCTGGACGACAATCCAATAAAGAAAGCAGTTATATCAGTCAAGGCAGCAATGGTTACAGATCCACCACAGCCCTTCAATGTAGCCCCCAATTGATCTTCAACTGTAGCTTTATCATGATGATCTGACCATTCAGACAATATAACAAACATCGAATCGACACCAACGCCTATATCAATAACAATAAATAATATCCGGGTGTGAGAATATGATAAATTAGCCCACTTTTAATTGCTAACATTTTGCTGGATGAAAATTAATATCAGGTGAAAAGACATGATCCGATCAAATAGTAAGCACGATCTGGACAGTGGGCGTAAAGAAACCGTCAAAACATAATGGAATCGATCATGAATCCTGAAAGGGGTAATAGAAAGAAAAAGGTTAAAAACCCCCGTATAGAGGAAATGGGATGGAAGAAAAGACAACTTCGAAACACCATTACTGGATAAAAGAAATAAAATGAATGAATGCAGTTCTACGTCCTGGATTAAAGAAAAAACTATTTCTATTGAGTTTTTCAAAACATAAATTATTCATGTAGCACGGCTACAGACAAAGATTTACTCACCTATAGCCAAAAATGGCATCACGCCAATGATATCTACAAAGAAGAGCCCACAAGAACTAACAAGTCCAAAAGAAGCACCGATACCTAGAGATACAGCTACTACACCAGCAGTGGCCAAATAAACTCTACTGGATACAAAATTCCAACTCGATAATACCAACGATGAGAAAGTTATCAATAAACCAACAGATATTCCAAATAGATATATATCTCTCGTGGTGTTTTCTTGAAATTCCTCTTTAATGGTAGTCGAAGAACTGTGGGCAATTTCTGTTAGATTAGTTGACAGTTCGGACATTTTCTTGTTAAACACAGTCGCCCACTGTTCACTCATTGATTCATTAACCTGCCTAAGGGGGAATACAATTTTCAGAATTTTGACGAAGGTCAGTGTGCCGTTCACGGTATCACCATAAAGATTGAAAGTTAAGTCCAATGGCTTCCTCATTTGATTTGTCCATTTAGGATATGTTACATTCCTTGCTCTGTATGCTGACAAAAAAGACGTTGTTAAAATTTCCTCACCACTTATAACACATTGGTTCATGGCGACACCGCAAACGTCATTGTGGGTGATGATTTTACCATTCTTATCAATCGAAAATTGTTTTATCTTGAGGATAATGTTGCTAATCTCCTGAACAACCTGTGGATCAAGTACGTCTTTTCCATCAACTGCTTTAAATATTACCACTGACGAAATATCTAGTTTCAGGAGACTCTGTACATTATAATTTGTATCGGTTTTATCAGCGAAAAGGGAATCCATCTTCTTAATATCTGTGGCAGAGCGACTGTTAACTGGTACATATAAGGTTATCAAGTCAGATTCCGATGTAAGAGTAAGCATACCGATACTTAGTAATCCACAAACTATAACAGGAACGATAATAAATACAACTGGATAACGGCTGACAAATCGAGCATATTTTTCAAAGATTTTGCCTGATGTATCAAGGCACGTGGAAAAATTATAACAACCCATTATTACTGCTAAAATAGAAATTAAAATGATAAATTATCAGGGACGAAATAGCTTATATCTAGCTTTAGTTCAATCGATAAAAACACAGAAATCAGCTTTGGTAGTATGGACTGACTTGTTTAACAGTTTGAATGAAACCAACAGTCAGTGGCGGAGCCACGAAATAACGAAATAACTAATTCGTTATAACAAAATAATTTTAAAAAGTATTCAAAATTACGCCAAAGGGGGTCCTTACTAATGAGACAATTTGACAGTTTTCACTTTCTAACATTATTAGAATTAGCAATCAAGTCCAGTAAATATTAATTACTAGCAAGCTTTGTGTATTAATTCCATTGGTTGTCTAAGTAACCACTGTAGTTTGCCTTGTAACCATCATTATAAAATGGAGTTGTTCTATACAGTATCAGGTTCAAAATGAAAATTATGTTCAAGACAACATGCACCTGAAAGACACATCCCAGATCTCTTCATGTGACTGAGAGAAAGAATCAGATGTGCTGTAATAATATATATCACTCCGAAAATGTCCTCCATGGTTCTCGAACGTAAATAAAAAACGCGACTTTGCCTTCAAGCTTTGTATTTTTTTGTATTTGGATAATCCGGGCTATATAACTTGACTTGAATAATGAGATTCTTTACTCTGAAGTTCTTTCTCCACAAGACTTGGAGATGTGGCTCTTCTATTCTAGTGTACATGTATATAATATTAATGAATTTTTATGTAATGTAAGCATACCTTACTTCACACGACATGAGATACTCAAGAAAATGAAATAAAGGTTCACTTTCAACTAATCCAAATGACCACAAGTAGTCCCCAAATCCAAAAGCAACTTTGGATTACTTTGGATTATGCTGTGCAATAAGTATATCTATATCAAAGTGTGCCGATAGCACTAATAACCAGCTGAAGTTGGTTTCCTTACAATTGAAAGGTATTATTTACATACTGTCTTTTAATGCTAACGGGTATTACGCGATATGACTTAAGAAGTAAATATTTTAGATATTGAGCAATTTTCTCAGCAAATACTATTATAACTTACCTGAAGATTAAGCAATAATATCTCAATATCTACACTCCTGGCACACTGTCATACAACTAGAAATCACAATACAGCTACTCACAAAAACTCTAATTAGACAGTATTCAATAACCCGATATCATAATTACAGTACGTATTATAATATTGTTGTCCACATGACTGTATTGTAAATGACATCAGACGTAACTAAAAGCTTCATGAAAAGCAGTTATACATTACTTAATGTATTGATATTATATACTTCTTTTATATGTAATAAAGTTTCAAAAAAAAATTATCATGATAAAGCAAAGTTACGGAACCCGTTAGGCGCAATTTTCCGTACTTTTATAAAATATTTCGTCTTAACGAATTAGTTATTTTGTTATTACGAAATAACTAATTCGTTTAAACGAAATATTTATATTATTTATATTTATAATAATATATTTATTACGAAATAACTAATTCGTTTAAACGAAATATGACGTTATTTCGTTTAAAGAATAATTTATTTCGTTTAAACGAATTAATTATTTCGTTTAAACGAAATACTATCAAATATTAAATGAAATAATTATTTCGTAATAGCGAAATAAGTAATTTGTTAAAACGAAATATTTTATAAAAGTACGGAAAATTGTACATTGTCATCTTCAGGTGAAGTGAGGAAATATGGTACAAGAAGTTATATATATACACAAAAATATAACATTAGCAACAATTAATTAGTGATTAGGAGCACAATTAATTGTTGCTAATGTTATATTCTTGTGTTATTTAAAGCAGCCTGAATGAACAACCGTGTTTACTCCATAATTATTGCACTTTCATGTTTTTGAATTCTGTTGGGTAACATTTTTGAGTCGTTGAAATCGACATGTTTCAAATTGGAGGACATAAAAAACAAACAAACAAGATATTATAAAATCTTTATTTTTGATTACTAGGATTCCTAGTGTTTAGTCATTGTTGCTATGGGAATATGATTTATGATAATATATTACATTATACAGTAAATACGATTATAAAAACAAAATAATCACTGTCAAAATATATTCCAAGGTTAAAATTTTATCAATAACAAGCTAACAAAAAAATAGGCTTCAAAAAGATTCTTCAAATAACAGAAATCGGTTCGTCTTGTTACAACATTTCAAAGTAATCTTTCTAACATCATATATCAATTGCTTTGGTCCACAAACAAATACATCTACAGTTTTCCTGTAACAAAGGTAAACATATAAATTATAACAAATAAAGTTCCAGTACCTTCTGTTGAATAGTAATTGTTACCTTTCAACCACCTGATAAAGGAAGATGTCTAACTTAGAAAGACTCAAAATTCAGAACTCGTACAAAATACAGTGATGTCGTGGTAGATCTGATTGCATAAAATAGGATGTCCATTACGGACAACTTTAAAAACTCATGTGATAGGATTAAAATTTCAGATATCCATAGGCCTATCTCCTACAAACGACGGTGATATCGATGTAGATTTTAATGCATAAAGGATATCACAATTTCAGATAACTGTAGGTCATTCTCTCTTCAAAATGAACATGATCCGATTTTAGCATTATTATCACGCCGTCGGTAATAATATGTAATTTATGTATGTATGGAAGAATGCTAGTAACTGTTAACTAGTAAACTTCCTGCAACTTCTGCAATATGAGTTAAAATGATGAGTCAATATGATTATTAAAAGAATCGGACTACAGAATTAGCTTTGGTAGGTCGAGGTTCAGGTGTAAACAGCTAATATCAAAATAACTCCTAGTGTAAATTTGAGTTTAGCTCTTACCTACAATGGAGATGGGATACTGAAGATAAGACGTTAGCCCAATCAGGTCTGTGGAACATGGTTCGTGGCTGAATGAAATTTAGAGAATCTTCAGAAAAGTGTCTCTGAAAATAAAGAAAAAATTGATCAAGTTTGAAAGAAAATGCTAAAAATGTTATTCATAATGATCAAATAATGGTCCTGGTACATTGCATATACATTCTGAAATGTTTAATCCTGAATTTCCTCCAAAACATGATGGAAAGGATGTCTGAAAATATCAATGTGGAGAATTATACCTGTTCTGTTGTACTATCACTATTAGTAACATAGAATTGTACCTCTAAGCTATTTGGAAACTTCCTTTCCAACAACTGAAATGTAAATAATATTGGCATGAGGTACTGTACTGTATTATCTTACTAATCAAATGTCCTTCGTAAAAAGGTTCACATTGGTCTTATGGAAGCAAGAGTTTATGATTTTGTTTTAAGAAGATGGAAAATTTATATGAATAAGTTAAGAGTGAGATAAGATAGCTGGATATTTCCGCCTACCTGATGCGATAGTAATATATCTTCCATGAACCATGCTAAATGACTCAAATCTCTAACTATCCATATAAAATATAACTTCTTTAATTTGCCAACTTTATAGCTAAAATATATTAAAATTATAAATTGCAGAAAAGTTGCACATCCTTCTTTTCTGCTCCTGGTCTATATGAAGACGGATAATGATAGTACGTGTTTCAGTGACGGGGTATCTTAAACATATCCTGTTGCATACAGAACCTTTCGTTTATCATACCATTTACATAGTGTTTTCAGTGTTATATTACTATATTACACCAGTAAAGGAGAAGACCCGAACTTGCTATCAGGACGCTAACAAAGGTGCAATTATTACAATATTTTTTTTGTTCTTACATTTGCATATCTAAGTGTGATTATTGACTCAGAATACACAAATACAGCGGAAAGTGTTAGTCAATTCAGAATAGTTTAAAATGACATAAATACACAAAACACTAAAACACCACAAAAATGTTGGTCAAGTATCAGTTTATAAAAGCAGAAGGTGGCTTTGACATTCAAATGAAAATACAGGTTCGCTACCATAAACAAATACAATGTGATCTGGGTGTATCAAAAATCTAGAAATTATGTGGTAGAACGCACACACTCAAAGAGACCAAGTAATAGTTACGTAATTAAAAAAATACTGGGATACCGTTGTTAGTTTGTAAAATTATAGACTAAAAGATACCGTAACATATCTTACCGTAGTTTAAGTAAGAAGCTTATAAAAGGAGTAACACCTATACCACCTGCAATACATACAGCTAGTTTAGATTGGTTCATTTCACATAATGGTGAACTGTACGGTCCATCAACTTTTAGTTCTGGAGATCTAAAATGCAGATTTGCAATTGCCAAGAATAAATGTGTTGTCTTGTCTTGAAACTTATATTATAACATCTGTTCTTCAAAAGGATTTCTAACTATTTCAGTATCAAGATTCCGTCCGTCAGGATTTGGTTTTAAAAATATTTGCTATAGTGACGTCAGAATCTGAGACGTTGAACGAGAGGTACATAATGTACATTTTAAGTCTTCGATTTGCAAATAACGACTTGAAAGCCTCCTTAAATTTTATAATTACGATCTATAGTGTAGTCATACTCAAAATGTTGCCTTATTTTCCTCCAAAACCCAATGAATAATACAGGCATACCTCACTATGTCTTCATAATGTAGTTCAGTATTAAATGCCTTGTGTATATTTCCTGAAAAGCAAATGATGGAAATTCGTCGAAAAGTTTATTCCAGTAGTGGGTACAAATATCACCAGAAAGGTTATGTCATTTATGTATCTGGATATTTTAACTTAAAATGATTGTAGTATTTTAGGCATCTGATTTGTCAATCACTAAATTCGGTTTTTTGAGTTAGTTTTATTATCCAATCAGATTGCTGCTTTTTTTTAAATCTGGATTTTTTTGAGAATATAAAAGTGGATAACATTTATATCTGTTTCAGCAACTGTCATACTTTACAAACATTGTCGTAAGTTTTAATAATTACCAAATCACCTGACCAATCTCCTTTATGTCGTAAACACAAGTTGAAACCACTCGACGATTTATCAGGACACTGTAAAATATAATGTATGGCATACAGAACCTTTTCTGTAACTAAAGGTGCAAACACACGAATGGTCTTGGTTTTTGTCGCCGATTAAAATCCTCGACGCGTTCCCAAGATTATCGTGTTGCCGACAGGATTTATAATATCAAACAAGTTTGATACTTGTTTCCGATAATTTAATCGTCTGTAAGACAGAGCGCTATCATCCAATCCGATTCATTCTCCTTCAATTGCATGCTCCGCATGTGATTATCAGTTGAAAACGAATGACTGGAGATTTTTGTGCCCGTAAACTCTTGACAAGACTCCAGTAAGTGGCAAAAAACATCGACTAAGACCGTTCGTGTGCCCGCACCATAATAGTAATACTACAGAGTAACAAATTAATATACATATATGCATATAAGCAATCCGTATCACAAGTCATCAAGTAGTAAAAAGAATTTAAGACGAATCACGTTAAACAGTATACAATTAGGCTTAGAAAACATTTAGGAACATCCTTCAGTTCATTAACATCTATTATTTATAATCTGACAATCAAAGGCAATGGATATCTGTAACTTTATCAATAAATATTTTTCTTCGCACAGAGAAAGCGGTAATAATCGTTTTTGTTTTTGTTTTGGAATATAATACAAGATCCGTGATTAATTACCACAGAGTATGCCTCTTTCAAACACAAGCGTGATCTCAGATGACATTGCGTTAAATTTTTGATGTAATTCTCACCTTAGTGATAGAATATGGATGCCATTCAAATAATGAAATTCTTGGGCACTTCAATAGAACATACTAAAATAAAAGATAAAAAGTAGAATATTAACTTACAAGTAAACCTATAAATAAGGCAATTTCGGGATTTCTCTTTGCAGAGGTAATTCCTCTTTCACCGTAAGAACCCTGTTGGGCAAGCAAAACAGAGACCAAAACGTCGCATAATACTCATTGCATTTGAGCTCAAATTCTACAACATCGAGACCAAGTGGATACATCTTCGCTTGAAGCGCTGGCATATTACCGACTTTATAATCACCAGATGCAGGGACATTCAGGATGTACGGATCTCGAGGGCCATGAAGACAGTGGACGGTTGGACTGATCACGTTTTGCTGAGATTATTCATTCTCCTATTATCGCCAACAGAAAACTGACACCAAGAAGCTGGGCGTTCAGAATCTCACCGACACGGAGACAAAAAAAAGAACCTAGTGGTCAACCTGTCAGATGAAGCATATACAGAGAAAGCATGGGCAAACTTCAAAACTGTAGTCTATGACACTGCCAAAGACGTACCAGGACACCCTAAACGAACACGCAAGGACAGGTTTGACGCCAACAACAAACAGATAACCTTCGTGTTAATAAACATCCAATAAAAGGAGCGAAACCAAAAACTCTACATTCTCTTTGTCATCCTCATAAGTCATAATTTGAAGGCATGATGGCAAGAGTGGTATCAGACCCATTTACTGTTTCAAATGGGGTAAAACAATGCTGCGTCATGGCACCCACGCTTTTCAGCCTTATGTTTGCTCTTCGCTCTTTGCAGCTCTCTACGCTTGGGTCACTATCTGGCAGTTTTTTTAACCTGCGGCGTCTAAAGGTGAAAACTCACTCAACAGAGGCGCTTATGAGAGAATTACTGTTTGCCGATGATTGCGTCCTCACAGCACTAAATGAATCAAATCTACAGGAGCAACGGACTTTAGACCATCAACCTAAGGAAGCGTTGCTACAGCCTGCTCCAGGTCTCACCCCTCAGACCCTTATATCGAAATCGAAGGAACCAGAATGAACGTGGAGGGCCTCATGGAAAAAAGAAGTGTCAAACAGACTTTCAAGGCTTGCACCTCCCTCGGGAGACTCTGACAATACGGATAAAAACCACTGGCAGTCTATTAACCTCAATTTTGTATGGCTGCTAACCATGGACACTGTAGAAGAAGGAGCTAAAGAAACTCGACCAGTTCCAACTCCGTTGCCTGTGCAAAATCATGAGAATATCCTGGGAAGACCTCCTTGACTGCATGTGGCATACCCTAACTGGGATGGGACATTCTCGCCATTGATAGCTGTGCATAGCTACGCGCCGTCATCATAAGTGTGCAGCATTTTGGGGAAAGCTACTAACCCACAAAGAAAGATCAAAGCATTTGCATGACCGCAGTGCAACCGCTTCGTGTTACAATCATACCTGAGGAGCCACCTACGTAGAAATATAAAAGAATGCTTTTTTTGAGAGTTCCGCACTAGCAAAGCTTGGTCAGAAAAAGTTCTTCCCCTTATTGTGTTCAATCCTTAAATCATGGATTGTGGGTAAAGTCAGCCACCAGGAAAAATATACATAGTTGCACAGACCTGTCCCGGTATTGCTTTCAATCCATCACATTTCAACTGAAGTTCTATAACATCACCAGTGTACGCCGTAATTTTGGTAATAGTTGTTGTTTTTCTATTAAATATACGTATTATACCGTCAACTATATACAATATCAAAGGTACAACGATCCAAACCCACGACTGAAAAGATGAAAACGTTTTAATTATATCTGATTTATAAACAGAACATCACTTCTTAAACAAAGTCACCCAAGACTTAAGCTTGAGTTACCTCCCTTGAAATGAAAAATTGCACGAGGTTAGACTTACCACCACAAAATGAGCAGAGCATTATATGAGAAGCTTGAGCAGGGCTCTGAACAGTAAGTTGCTCTATGCAAGGGTTGGGTGGACTGGGTTGGGTTGCATGGTTTAAATAATGCACTAAAATCTTAAATTAATAAAATCCATACATTGCAGCCTATATGTTGAAATTGTGGTCTTTCTGTACATTGTGTTGTATTGTGGAAGTTGTCGCTAAACGTATACTCGGGTTGTGATGGTAGTTCTACTGTATTTACATAATCTATTGAAAGGTTGCAACCAGGCCAATGATGTTCTACATTTTTCTGTTGTCTAATTGGTCCCCTGAAATTGGTGTTGGAAAATTCAATAATCTAAAAAATCTTAGCAAATTTATAATGCACAATGTTTAAAAGTCAAAAAATTGAAACAACGTACGGTGGCTCACATACGACATTTTCCACTTTTTATTTTGAATTAAAAACTTTCCGAATTTATCATTACTCTGTCGTTTTATCAGTTTTTTTTGACGCGATAGCAATTCTTGCCATTTCAATTCGTAAAACTTTGATATGACCCTAGTCAAATTACGAGGAACATTGGGCAGAGAAACAAAGCTATTGAATAACCAGACTTACTTCACAGCATGTATTAATAATAAACCGTAGAAAATAAATATCAGCCGGTGTGTGTAATAAAATACTTCATAATTAGAATCTCTGGAAAATAATAAATTATGTCAATTACTGAAAATTTCAATCCAAAGGTGGCCACGGTATTACCTGCGATTCAAAGCATATAATGGTATTCGTCGCAGTTGAAACGAGTGAAACGCGTTTGTTAAAACGTAAAAAAAACTAACAAAAAATGTGATCTGAATGGTTGGTTTTCTAGATGCTACCAACCAGAGAATCCAGATGCTCTCGGATTCCGCTAGTCGCAAGGTCGCGTTAAGCAACTGCAGCCGAATACCTGGGCACAACTGAACCAAAACTTGTTGAAGATGTTCCCCCCAGATGGACAGTGACACCAATCCAAATTTTAAGGAAGGTCTTGCCAACCCATGAATTCTAGAATAACCTTTGGTAATTTTGATTCTAGTCGTATCATCCAACAATACTCTCAAAAAATCGAAAATAGCGACCACCTCTTTGGTTTTCCCTGTTCAAAAATTAGTCATCTCCTACCTGATATGTTTATAACTTGAAGTAACTATGAGGACTAGAATTAAAGCCATTAGTAAACCAGTCACACCAGATACTGTAATTATAGAATATCATGATTTACAGGGATCCGAAAGAGGTATTATAGACTTTATATTTTGTGACACTAACAGCTTCTGCATGGATCATACAGATTGTCAGTTGGCAATCTGTTTCAGTGTTGCTTTGTATTTAAAAGTTGGTATCAAAATCTAGGTATATCGAAGTAAAATGTACAACTTTTTACTAACCTGTCCATAGAATGATGAAAATAGGGTTCTGTTAAAAATAGAAGAGAAGGAGATCAATTAATAAAAAACGTGGGATGACTAAAATTATGAAATTTTTTATTCTGACCTAGCTACAAGAGCAAACTCTCATTAGCCACTCTATTCAACTTATGAGGCGAAATAAAATTTTCACTTGACCAAACACCAAAAACAAAGGCATATGTGAAAGATGCGTTTGAATTGAAAATAGTTTCAAAATCGACGGCGGCCAATTTCAATCTAACGGCGACTAAAATGTGTCCCCAAATATTACAAATTACAGTCGCTATCAACCTATGACATATGCGACCATATAGCGCGCCATTCACGCTTATACCACGCTTATGGCAACCTTAGCGCGCTCTAAGCTAATTTTCAATGTAAAGGAGCTCAGTTAACACGTTTCTTCGAGATATCAAATAGGTTAAGATTTTTCAAATTCTATTCCAGAGCATAGTAATATGAATAGTATACATACCTGGTTTGGGTAAGAAGCACCATTTACCTCAGGATATTGATAGTTATAATACAGAGAATATTTCAAAGCGTTAAAGATATGACCAATAACATGTATTACTGAAACAAGACAATTTAAGTGAGTTAGTTATGAGTTGAGGCTTAGTTAAGTACAAATGTTAATTGAAAATGATACTTTTGGCACACAGAAATGGGATAGGCGCTAACCAAAACTTTAGTCGTGGGCTTTAGAAGTTTTGAATTCTATACTCTTTAGTTCAAAATAATTAAACGGGCCCAATAATTTTTTCATTTGGAAAGATAATGGATAACCTCGCGATATTTCGATCGTATCTTATAGAAGAGATAAAGTTTAAGCTTAAATTCTGTTGAATGTAAAATTCTGATGCTTTACGTTATATAGAAGAAATTGTGCTACATCATCGTATCCAGAGTAGAATTCTTTGTAACGAAAAACAAAACAAACCAGAAGACAATATTATGGTAATAGCACAGACTTTATGAAAACCTTTACATGACTCCAGTATAACTCGTATTGTTGAAATTCTGACCTGTAATATTAAAAAAAAGTTTCTACTAAAAGGTAAACAAATACAAGAATAAGAAAGCAACCATTTTCGGTTCGCCAGGATCCCTTCTACTAGCTGGTTCTTGGTCAAACTTATTAGCTCTGAGGAAAGATTAATCAAGGTCATAAGACAGACACACCGACCAAGATAAGAACCCATGTTAGTTTCCAACACTCTAACTGACTTAACTACAATCCCTCCTCTGGAACTGGAATTGTACAATGAAAACATATTTGATGACTTGTATGAAAACATTAACAGCTTTCAGTTTAAGTGATGACAGTCCAGTGATTATCAAGTTATTATGAAGTCATAAAAGCTGTTCTGAAATGGGGTTGGTATGATGTGTATATGGTAAATTACCTTTGAATTAAGATATGTTATGAATGTAAGTATACAGCGACATGTAGGTAATAATATTAGTCCACAATTTAGATTAAGAATGCTAGCAGTACCACGTGATATGCACATCGAAACCTGAAAATAATATAAAAATAACTGAAATGAAATTAGTTTTTAGTGGATTTCTGCTTAAACTGCAATTTCAAACGTTACTTTATAAAATCAGAAAACAAAGACAATATTATATTTATATTAAATTAAATTAAATTGTTTTCCCAGAATTGGGATTTGTTGTCGACATTACCATGTTCTACACATTCCTTCATTAATCATTTAGTTTTAGTTTAAGTTGTAACAATGTATTATAGACCTACCCCTAATATCTGACGAACGTAGAAAAATGAAGGATCATCTTTAAAGTAATAGAATGTTCGGTAGAATAAAAACAAACAACCACATATCCACACAATCTGAAAACAACACAATATTTTGTTGTCCTGTATACATGTCGGATTGTTACCTTGAAAAGTACATTGGTCATTCTATTTCTGGGGAAAAAAACAAAGTTATCAACTATGTATATTTTGACAAGGGTATTTAGGACCTTTTTGGAGGGGGGGGGGGGGGGGGGGGCAAGAGGACAACGGCTTTAATACATCCTTCAACAGTAGCTTATCATAAATATGTCACATGCTGATACAACAAAGGCGATTTATCTCGTAGAATGCTATAGGCAAATTCGAAAGGTTGGGCCGTCCTGTTATTTCTGTATACTTGAGTAATAGTTGAAGAATCTTTATCATGCCACGATATTAATAATTCCCACATGTTAGTGGTTTAATCAGCTGGCAAAGATCAAAGGTTGTTAATGATTAAAGGGCGTTTCCTACTTATTCTAGTTATTTGATACTCTGTTTATAATTCTAAACCACCACTGACCTTTCTACAGTTCATATACAGAATGAATAAATGTAGAAATGAATGAATGAATTTAAGCAACCGTGCAGATAAATCAATTGGAAGTGGCTGATTAACTCAAATGGTACAAAATGAAAGAAAGAATATAAAAATGAAAAAAGAAAAATACTTACAAGGAGGAAATATTTTTGTCCATGTCTCCTTATCCAGGAAGCTACAGAAACTTGATATGCCATACTTAAGAGCTGCACATCTCATTCCACCAGTGTGAATAAATCATCCGTTCTGATTAGATTTTATAAGTAATCGTGAAATATTTACTCTAGTACAGGAAACCGTTTTCTCAGTGGTAGGCTCCATAAGTTATGGTAACACATTTTCTTTTATTCAGAAAGTGAACAAATACTGCTCGATCCTCGAAAGCACTGGATTGTGTGTGTAGTCTTCTCCACAATTGTAAACTGTTAAATGAAACTTCCACAGTGTTTATCATAATATTAACGTCTTTAAAGCTTTCCTTATCTACTCCTTTCATTCATTCCGCCCACAAAACCTGCTATTTCCTTCTCGTCTCAACTGGTTTTAAGATCAAAGCTGTCTGTATTAAACATTTGGTGTGTCTATAATGTATAAGAAACCTGTCTTATATTACTAGTGTCTAATGTGATTGAGTCTAATTGGTATTAATTAATGTAAGTACTCTGATCTGTTTTATTATTATCAGTTTAACGCAATATCAGATCATTCTTGTTTTTTGTTCTTAAAAATATACTACCTCTTAGGATGATCTCTTGGTGTCAAAACCTATACGACATTATCTCTCTATAATCCACTAAATCCATAAAACTAAGTAATAATCGATTAAACTAAGTAATATTGAAACACGCTTAGAACCGTTTATAAATTATTTCTCAGTTTAATGGATATATCGTGTTATATGAATATTCTATTATTTAGTCATAGCACCTAGTAAGTCCATCTGATGAATATTTACTCCATTCTAAGAGGTAGTATTCTTTCAAGATTATTAAAGTGTATATTAGTTGTGGTATATTTTCAACACAGTAGAAAAACAAGCACTGACAGTGTTGAAAGAATGAAAAAGGCTATCACGATGTCAAATTCTTAAGTAGCATTAAATCTCTTGGTATATAGCAAGCCTTTTCTTGTTGTGTTTTTTACTCCACATTTGAAGAATAATAAATATGACGACTATACTGTGTGTTTTGAGACTTCGAGGTAAATGCGTTGTACTGGACTGGCATAACCATCACCCTATTCAGTATTTTGTGGCAGGAAGTTTGTCAGGCAGACATACAATATTCTATTTACGTAAGTCACTTAGATGTATCAATCAACATTGGGATAATAATCGAAGTAATGGTAAAATTTGATTGTCAAACCACTATTTAAGAGCTTGCAATTCTGACAGCAAAACAGATTTTGTGTATATGGGGGAGTAGCATTGATGATTCTTAAACAAAATTTTTTAACATCCAGTTTTTGCTCTTTCTTGATTTTGGCGGAAGCAAATTCTTCAGTTTTATGAATGCAAAATTGAGAAAAAGCCCAGAAAAAGCAAACGCTCACAGCATAACCTTTTGTATAACCAAAATTTGGGTAAAAGTCTGAAAGTTAAAGTGCTGTATCGGCCAGAGTTTGCAAGGTAGGAACTTGAAATTTAGAACGTAACAAATTCACATGGACAAGTCCCTTCAGACGAAATTGAAACTGTACATCTCTAATAGTTTTCGAGCAGCAATCTGTCAACATTTTGGTCTTAACCCCAACCTGTGCAACCAACCACACCCCATACTAAAATGGCCATTATTTCGCCAATTGTGACCCGAGAGAAATAATTATTGCTTCGACTATTTCATTCTCAAATAGAACATCTGATTTTTTATATTTTCGATAAGATCGACCTTGAAGTATCATATTATAGATTGCCGAAATTAGACTTGAAATTAACACCCTCTTCCAATGTTTTACTTTGTCCTTTTTTTCAAACAGCCATATTTCATAATATCCATTTTCTTATATGCTATTTCCAACCATTTTTTTTCACGGTTTTTTTTTATTTGTTCTGATTGTTATTCAAAGATTTCAAGGGGATCTTCTCTAATGCTAATTTCCGATTATCTAGTTTAAAGTGTAGAGAAACCCAGATTTACAAACATTTAATTATTAACATACATTTTGTTTATTCAAATTAAAGAACTTCAAACTTACAAGAACTGTGCGTTCGTTACTTTGTTATTTGTACAAAGTGACAACCCTTTTCCTTATTTTTAAGAGGAAAATCGCATATATTTTGTTTTCATCTCTGATAGTTTTCGAACCTGTGCAACTTGACTGATAAAAAAGTAAAGTACGTTAAATTCTTGTCATTGCAGTTCCGAACGTAAAATGAGAGAGCAAGGACACGAGCGATCTAATATATTAAATACTTTTTGCTCTTTTGTGCTTTTTAGTCGTATCGATCATGTAGCGTGCAACGGCGATATCATCAGCTTGGGTCGGACAGGTGCAGACCAAGTTCTCTTAAACCGTCACCAGAATCAGACAGCTGATCCAAGTAAGTGATCAGATTAAAAGCAAGTTCAGTTGTTAAAATAAAACATCACCTTGACGAATACATATTTATAGCAAGACATTACGTGAATAGGACCCACCGAGCGGACACAGATTGTCATGGACGAATACAAGAATCCACGATATTCCCCTAGAATACAAGTGCGTAAATTGAACAGTTTGTGAACCTTTTAACTTTCTTGAGTCGAAACAAGATACTTGGTGAAATTACTCGGTATGATTTAGGATAACTGCACCGGATTGTCACCTCAAAAGGATGGGGAGGATGGAACTATGTTTCCAGTGTTCAAGAAAACGACCAATCAGAAGAATGAGATTTAATAGATTTAAAAGTATGTACTCTATAGTAAGGTTTTGAAGTATACGATAACCCCTTTCCATAAATTAATGTTATTTTAGGCTTTGTCATACTATATACCCACAATCATAATTAACTGAAATCTAACTGAAACAAATTCTTTAAAGACACATTCTATCAATTAGAATTTTGTCTTGGTGGGGATTCAGTTAAATAAATCTTGGCGGGGGTTCAGTTAATATTGTAGAAATACATTATACATGTACACAAAATAGTTTCATTACATAGATTCTATCTAAAATCACGTATCAGGAGAAATCCCGACAAATACTTTAGATATTAAGTGAATAATTGGTCCTAAGACGTATAGACTAAATGGAGTTTTAATCCCAATCTTTTACTCCAGATTGGCCTAAAAGACGGTCTAGATGGCAAAAGATACTATCAACATGATTATGCTTCTTTAACCATTGATATCAGCTTTTACAGCTTAATAATGACATACTTATATCGGGTCACGTGAAGTATTATAATTTATATTACAAAGAGATAACACTAGTTTGTAGGCCATCAAATATTTTACATCATAATAAGACTACATGTTACTTTAGAGATAGAAAAACAGATAACAAGACAACAACAAGTTGAATTTCCAGGTTAGTTGCAACAGTACTTTATTGATATATCATCATTTTACAGTGCATATAACTGTTCAAGTGCAGTGTTATAGTGTTATAGTGCTTCAATTCATAATATCAAGGCAGTAGGTAGTTGATTTATACTCACACAGAGGCATTGTTTCCACATTTCTGTAAAATCATATTTTACATCTTGCATTCACAGCGTTCAATACAGAACTTGCCTAACGTGTTTTGTATTAATTTTCAGAGTTATACGTTAGGTCTATCATGGAGTTTGCTAAACTAAAAGATGTTACAGAGAAAGGTATAGAGAAGTACGCAGAAAAATTAAATTCATTAAGTCAAACGATTTGGTCAAATCCAGAATTAAATTATGAAGAACATTCCGCTCATGCAGCATTAACTGATTTTCTTGAGAAAGCCGGATTTAATGTTGAGCGAAACTTCAAGTTGAAGACTGCTTTCAGAGCAACTTTTGGCGACGATGATTCATCAAAACCTCATGTCGTTGTTATCTGTGAATACGATGCATTACCCGAAATAGGTCATGCTTGTGGACATAATCTAATAGCAGAATGTGGTGTGGCAGCTGGGCTTGGTATCAAAGCTGCTATTGAAGTCTCAGATAAGTCATTAGGAAAGGTATGTGTTTTCGATCAATTAAAGTATATAATTTATTTACAAACACAGTTCCAAATATAGATCTCTGTAGTATACATGAACTTTCTAATTCACGCATTTGCTAAAAGGTTAATTTTTACACATAAGTACATACTTTTAATTATTTTTTACGGTGGTTTGTAGCTAAAATGTGGTGTACTGATAGATTTGTTCGGCTGGATGCATATAGAAATCACCAACTTTCTATTCTTATTTCGCAAGGTGGTTTCTTCCAATGAACTGCTGCCAAACTTCCAGTGTAAACTTTTTGTTTTCTTCAGGTAACCGTTCTTGGTACGCCAGCAGAGGAAGGTGGTGGAGGAAAAATTGACCTGATAAATGCTCATGTCTTTGATGATGTTGATTTAGCTATGATGTCACATCCTACTCCATTCGACCACTCTCACCCACCAACTCTTTCAATTGCACAGTTAGTATGGCGTACTGTAATTCATAAGTCCTTGTTTTGGAATGAAATTAATTGGTTGCTGTTCAACTTTGTCCAATTATAGCCGTAAAACACAAAATGCAATGAAAGAAATTTAGATGACGATTCAAATGTTTGTTCTATTTATTTAGATGTAATGTTAAATTCCATGGGAAAGCATCCCATGCTGCTGGATTCCCATGGGAAGGAATTAACGCCCTGGATGCTGCAGTTTTGTGTTACCAGAGTATATCCTGTCTAAGACAACAGTTTAAACCTAAATGGAGGGTTCACGGTGAGAGACAAATTCTATTTTTTCCAATGCTCATATGTCACAATTGTTTAGTTTTACGACCATTTCGACAGATGAAGCCTAATCTTAGATGGTCATAAATGCTACGATTTGTTTTGGTTGTTGGGGCACTCAAATTAAAAAAGATCGATTGAACAGAATCTCCAAGTAACGCCACTTCCCAGGACTTGTTCAAAAAACAGTGGCAAGGTTGTTCCAAAATTCCCGTTAACGAATAAGCGAATAATTGATTTCTGTAATTTCTGAAGACAACACTGCTGTCTTTGGAATCAGACAATAATCAAACTAATAGTTGGCTTCTACCCATCATAATCAACAACCAATGTAAATAACCAATCAGCAATAATTTTTCATTCGTACCTTCGTAAAAGAAGAGTTGCAGGTCCGACGTGCAAAATACAACATCCTCGAAAAAGCCACGTAATACATCATTAAATAGCTATTCCCAAATTTGTCGTTTAAAATAGTTGCTCGATTGCAAGGAAAACGTATAGAAACTGCGAAAAGGGTTTAGATATAATAAGCATAGTTTTACACGTTGAAGTTTTATCAGAATCTCCCTTTAACTATTGAGATACAAATTAAAAACATTGTAGGTGTAATTAAGAATGGAGGAGCTAAACCGAATATCATACCAGATTTAACCGAATTAGAGTATTATATCAGAGCACCGAATGATAAAGAATTGAAGATCTTAATGGATAAAGTTTCAAATTGTTTCGAAAGTGCCGCAGCCTCTACTGGATGTACCGTAAGAATATCGTTTGTCAGCTAGTTCCTCACTTTTTTTAGTTCAAGTTCAAAGAATCAGCGCTTCAGATATTAATTGTATTTTCCCCGATTTATTGAGTATTTTCATTGTGTCACCCTTAGTTTTTTATATCAGTATTATTAAAAATATTTTGTTATAATTCAGGTTGACTGGAAATTTATTGATAAATCATATTCCGGACTAATAAGCAATAAGACTTTGGTCAAATTGTTTGAAAAGCATGCGATTGCTGCTGGTATCAATCTATCAGACGATCCAGATCCACCCACGGGATCAACCGATATGGGCAATGTGTCATATGTTGTTCCAAGTATTCAACCCTTCTATAGTATTGGAGGGAAAGCGGCCAATCACACAAGAGACTTTGCGACTGAATCAGGTAAGAAGTATTTTGAATTGTCAGGAGAAACAGAATGCTATATTGTAGATTAAAGATCGAACGTCAAATATCAACGAATCGCATAACAGATAATCTCGGCTTGTGGCAGATAAAATATGATTTGGCTTGGGTGGGTTTTGTTGGTTTTTTAGGTAACAGATATTATAACAGATGCGAAGAGTAATGTAACATAATCTGTGTCCTATGTGCAAGTTTGTTATCGTACCAAAATACAGTATGATCCCCGGCAATTCAATGTTACTGTGCTGCTCAGGCATATTTGGTTAAAAAAAAAGAGTAAATTTTAAAACCATAATTTCCATCTAGTCTGCACTCATTTGTTTTCTGAAAGCCCAATTGTCTGAAATCTATGCTATATTCGGTGTCTTTTCAGGATCACCCACTGCTCAGTCGTATACATTAAAACAAGCCAAGGTTCTGGCTTTAACAGCATTAGACGTTTACACCAATCCAGATTTATTACCCAAGATAAAACAGGAATTCCAAACTGATCTGAAAAATCTGACTTAAATAGAAACATTCATTGATATCTTAAATTATATATTAAAGATAATGGTAAGCTTTGTTTTCATTTACCTGCCGTTAATTGGAAAATTGTTCTTTGTCGTTGTGTTAAATACATTATATGATTAATTGTATGTACAATAAAAGCGCACTGTTATTATATATGCTTGTACATAAAATATTCTATAATTTCTACTGTATATATTGCTTATTGAAAATATAAAATGAGTATTAATAGAAATAAAATTCAACACAACAATGATCAGTAGACAGATTGCAGGTTGATACAGTGTTAAAGAGTGTATTTCACAAGTGACAAGATTAGCCTATGCATAATATTAGCAAATAATGTACATTGGTTAAATGATATGAAAACAAAGATAACACTAGAGCCACACGTGGCACAGAGTGGGACTTTGCAAATGTAGCAAATTGCAAAAGACTCTGAAAAAATCAACCTTCTACGATAATTACATCACGCGCAAGAGCAGTCTAAAGTTGAGATGAATTCTTTGGAAGATTGTTATAACGGAAGTAGACAGACCTCACAAATGAAAGTATCAGAAGATAGCCAAGGTCAATGACATTTAACATTGAAAGGGAGAGGGTCAACAAAGGTCAAGGTTACGAGATACAAGTCATCAAAATTTTTAAATATATACGGCTATAAAACCGGAAGTTGAGATAGGACAGCAAATATAAAAGTATAAATAGATAACCAATTTGAATGACCTTTGATCCTACAAAAATCAGGGTCAAAAAAGGTCAAGGTCAAAAATTGAAAATTTTGAATTTTCAAAACCTGTTCCTTTTTTTGAACTATAAAGCTGAAACAATTGAACTTCTAAGACAACGTGGCTCAACGAATGAAGTAATTGTATGCAAAGTTCCATTTTGAACAAATGTATACGTTGCGAGTTAAGTCCCTTGTCAAAATTGTCAATAATGATTAATTTAACCCGGATGTGCTACGCCCACCTCAATTTCTTTTGCATAGGTTAATTGATATTCTGAATGTTATGTAGTATCCCAAATTTAAAGCTTCTACATCATACAGGTCAAAAGATATAGATCAACAAGAGTCAATAAAGGTCAAAATAGAAAATTGAAAATATGGAAATTTCAAAACCCGTTCCTTTTTTGGAACTATAAAGCTGAAACAATTGACCTATTAACACAAACTGGCCAAAATAATGAGGTAATTGTGTGCAAAGTTCCTTTTTGAACAAATGTATCCTATGCGAGTTATGCCCCTTTCCCAAAATGTAAACAATTAGTAATTCAACCCGGATGTGCCACGCCCACCTCAACTTTTTTGTCATAGGTTAATTCATATTCAAATTGTCTTGTTGTGTTCCAAGTTTCAATGTTCTACATAAAATAGGTCATAAGATATATACACACCAAGCTCAAAGAAACAGAATATTGTAAAAAAAAACTCAAATTTGAAAAATTCACGAATTTCAATTTTGCTTTAAAAAACGATTGTTATAATTCACTTGAAAGAGCATGAAAAGCACATTAAGAATCCGAAAAAATTAACCCTCTAGGTTAATTAGGTCACGTGCTAGAGCAGTCCAAAGTTGCCAATTTGGCTGTTTTCGGAAAGCTATAAAACCGGAAGTACATGTCGGAGGTCAATTGTCAAAGTATTAACTGATAGCTAAGGTCAATGACCTTTGACCTTATGAAGGTCAAGGTCATCAAAGTTCACGATCACGAGATATGACCCTTCAAACTTTGAAAAAATTCAACCGGATGTTGCAAAAAAGCAAAATTGAGAATCGAAAAACGGCTTCCTAATGTCATGTTTTTTTTTATCTTCTTTCATTTGACACCAAAATCATTTAAATCGGTTGAGCCATTATGTCTGAATGAAAATCGAATCATTTCAGAAAAATCAAAATGGCGGCCAATGTTTCACTTCTGTTCCAGATTTTTTTTTCTTCGTTTTTTTGTCATAACTTTGTCTACCTATCAGCATAAAATTTTTTGTCCTATACAAATTACACCGGAAGATATTCAACCGGAAGTGAACATCGATTTCCTGTTTAAACCGGAAGTGAAATTGAAAATTTGACTGTACCGTTTTGTTTACTTTCTTAAACTGTCTTTGCTCAATTTTTTTCAGATTAATCAGACAAAAAGCAAAAAAAATGAAAAAAATGCAAAATTTGGCAAAAAAAATGTCTGCGACAAATTTTCGAATTTTGAAATTTTGAAACGGCTATTCTTTCAGATTTTAACAGTAGATTCCAAAAATGCAAACCCAAAGAAAATCGACCGAAAAATACGACTTCTAGAGCCGATTATATATTCTTGCACATATTGAACTGTGGCACTTCCGGTTTTGCAAAAAAGATCCAAAATATATTTATGCACATCGTCGCCTATATCTAAGGTTCGTGAATGTTGAAAGGTTGCTGCAACTATTGTAGACTAAGCTCAGGAAGGTGTGTGTAAAAATCGGAAAAAAAAAAAAAAAAAAAAAAAAGAATTGACATTTCAATAACAAACTGGGACTTTGCCGTAGCAAAGTCCCACAAAAACTATGTAACAACATTCGGTATAAAAAAGCTACACCATACATAAAAGATATTATTCACTAAAAGCCTTTATTATAGCATACATAATGGACAACATATTTCTGACTAATAGTTTTATTCATAACAGGACATTATTAACAACAGTTTTGATTCAATCAATCCAGGAAGAAAATTACAGTTATAATTGGGACACACAACACAACTTTTAGTCTTTTGTTGATTCATGTTGAATGATACATCGGATAAATCTTACATATTTTAATTTCTAGTTTATATAATATTTAGCTATAAAGAATGCATCTAATTATACTTAGATATCCATGATGAATGATAACTTTTAAAGTGGAGGTTCAAGCTTCTAAAAACAAGAATTTGTAACTTTATTTAATTATAGTGAAATTGTAATGTGAATTTTTTTCGTTATAACATAACATTAAAAGAGTTCGATTTTCAAAACTTAAGGTAAAATATCCAATAAAAATTTATTTCAATCAGGCATGAATCACAAACAAAATTGATTTAATATTGTTTGAATTTTTAGACATCAAGCTACAGCACCCTGATTTTCATAAATATTAATTTCTTCGTATGTTTGTTTTGGAGAATTTTCCATATCTAGACCTTCATATGTCTGATCATCAGATTCTACTGTTGTACAACGTCGTGAAGATGAAGTTGATGGTGCTGTTTCTGTGGTGCCAGTTTCTTTTTTAGGAGATCTTTTCTTGTATTTCAATATCAGCTGTCTGACGTTTATACCTGAAAAGTTAATACGTTAAAACAGACACAGTATAGAAAACCGGTTTGTTCCATCATCGAACATTCCCACCCTACTTGAAAAATAGACTGTCCATTTTAGAAAGGGTTTTTGTAAACACACAATATGAAATTAAGCCAACTTCGACGCACGATATACAGAAATGAAAATTGTGTATAGATTTAAGATGGTAATGATCCTTAGGTAGCTGAAGATGCAGTATCAAGCTTGCCTGAGGTGCATTAACTTTATCATGGACGTTAATGTTTTCATTTTACTTATTTAATATTATGGAATGTAAGTACCTGTTTCTCCTCGTTTCTTCCAAATAAAGAAAACTATTACTACAATTATTCCCATAACCAATAGTCCAACAATAAATCCAATACCAATACCAGTACCAAGTTTAGTATTATTGCCCAAGCCTTGATGATTAACAGTATCGTCAACTTCCTTCAAAGTGAATACAACAGAAATGTGCCCTTCTTAATTTTTTGCATACAAAATGTAGTTACCGAAATCCTGCTCAGTTATATCGGTTATATCAAGATAAAATGTTCCTTTATTTGATGTAGCTTTCATTCTTTCATCTTTGACCAATACCTCTGTTTGATCCTCTAAAAGATGTATCCATGTAAATGATGGAACAGGATATGATACGACTGTGGCTGTTAAGGTAGCAGAGCCTGCCAAAGTAGCATAGATTCGCTGAATTCGACTTCGTTTCAATCTGGGAGCACCTGTAAAGAAGAATTCTAAGAATTTTCTTGATGTCGGATATTCCATTTGGAGATGAGAAATGACCCAAAAATATTAACACATTAACTTATAATGGAGTTTCTTGCCATGGTATTGTTATTGTGATCATATGGAAATATTGAAGATCCTTTAAAGTAAAGGATGAAATCGAAAACCTTTTGTATCTTACTTCAAAAGACGGTCGACAAGTACGACATACCTCAATCCCACTGGAAATTCAGGAACCTACGACGGGAGATATGTGGAAAGGCTCCGCGATGCCTTGTGATTGCTAGCGACAAAAGTGGAGCAGTCTCTTAAAATTTGCAACGGAGATAATCTGCAAAGTTCCCCTTAATATCAGGCGACGTTCTGCGATGTTCGCCGATAATGTGCGATGGATCTGCTGACCACGACCAAGAATAGTAGGCGATTGTCGGCGACTGTAAACCAATGAATCAGAAAATATTCAGCGTTGTATTGGCGATGTTTCACGAAGGTTCGCAGAATTTTTTCAACTGTTCGGCTATCATCTGCTAACCATTGTAGAGGTATAGCCTAATGTAATATCCCCCGATGTGCGACTCGGAGTGGCATTTTCTCTCTGGCACCATCCTTAGAATGGAAGAACAAGCACAAGCACTGGCACCTTAGCAGTATTAAGAACACTTAGATCAGCAAGAGTAAGAAGTTGCCCTAATCCTGTTAACGTTTTGTGTCTACTGGGTCTTAACTGATTACTGGGTCCGCGGGGATACCGTCAAATATTTGTCGACGTTCTGAGTAGCTTCGCAGCTTATGAGTTGCTTGTGCGTGCGCTTTTGTCAACTAAACGTCGTAAATGTATCTCTAAAAAATTCGTCCTCTCTTATAAAGCTGTCGTCGTGATCCAGTGAGATGCCTTGCGATGATCGCAACATTCTGAATATATCATTGCTAAGCATTGAGATTGTCCACTCTTTCCTTCGAAAATGGTTCGCAAACCATCGCAATGCCAACTGGAACTACAGCTTTAGTAACCATTATACGGGTGGAATTTGTTTGCAAATAAAAATGGATCTAAAATCTATCGGTAAAATGAAAAAACATAATAATCCATAAGAGAACTCTCTCAGAGACTTACAAGATACTTCAAGTTGTCCAGTTGCTGATGATTTATCACCAACGCCATTCACTGCCCAACATGTATAACTCCCGGAGTCTTCACATGTTGCTTTTGATATTATAACATCTGGACCAGTATTGTTAATTTGTTCTCCATTGAAAGTCCATGATAATTTGGATTGAGGAAAACTATCAACTAAACATGCTAGTTTAACATATGTTCCTTCTTTTATTTCACGATCATCAGGTAATATTTTAATATTATTTATAGATGGTGGATCTGTAAATGAATAAGAGTTATGATCAAACAATTAAACCCGTGAGTTAGTCATCAATATTTAAGTTTAATTGCTACATAATAATAGGTTCAACATGTCCACAACTTATGGTATCTAAATACTACTTGTTTCTGACCAAGTATAACCAAAACGTTTTCATGTGATGTGTGGGTGATATACAAAATAAAATAATAGGCTAGTGTATAATAAGACTTACTCACATTTAACTTGCAGTGACAATGATTCGTTGATAGACTTTGCACCACAAACCCATATACCATTATCCTCCTTCCTAGTCGCCTTTATTGTTACATTTAAAAACACATTCCGTTGTGGTGAATAATCATAATCACATTCACAGGAATAATATTCATTAATTAATGTTAAGTACTCCATGATACCCATATTACAGGCGTATCTATAAAATTTACAAATAGGTAAACCATTTCTCACAATGTAAAAGAAATCATAAAAGTCAATGTCATCACCTTCAATATGACAGGATATGTTTACCTCATTGCCTACGGTGGTACTCTCTGAAGAACTTATGAAGTGTATGTCGACATTCATCGCTGAAAAATAAAGTTGAACACCACATACAAATGACAAACAGTTATCATTAGATTTCACAATCAATGGTATACCCCTTTTCGAACCCATGTGATTCACTTTTTTACATTCTTAGAGAATTATTTTTGGCTAATAACCGGTAATGAAACTTAAGCATATAATTAAATATATAAAGAGAAATAGGAAAATAAACTGGACCAATCACAAGAAGAAAAACGACAAACGCCTAAACTACAAGCTGTAGTTCTGATAAACTAAAATCCAAGTCCAAAGTTCGAGCAACTCAAAAAGGTAGCTATGAAAGGTTCTAGCTATTCCAAATCATTCATATATGACATCCTTACAACCTCAACCCATGTTTATGTGCCCTTTTCACCGTTTTGGTAAAGTGAAACTGACATAACAGCTGAACGAAAAATCGAAAAAGTCGCTGAACGATTTATCAAATACGATATCTGCAGATATTCCAACAATTTATCTTAATATTTAATTTTTGGAAAACAAAACGATGTATGTTGGATAATGTACTTTTGACACTTATAGAAGCAAAAAAACAAACAACCGAAGGCGATTATTCTACTTCCCTCCTTTTTTCTATTGCTATTGCTGAACGTCTGAAAATGGTTGGTTTTTGTACAGATAATTATAATAGTTTGTAAGGAAACCACCTTATCTGCAAATTAAATACCAAAATAAAGTCGATAATAGGTCTGTAAGTCACAAACTGTGTGGAGTTTCTTTTAAAGAAATTCTTGTAGATCTTCTCATACCAGATATTCAAGAACCCAAAATCTAAGAATATTCTCTTCGCGAAACACGTTTAAGCCCAAGTGTTAGGAATTTAATGGGATTAACTAACGATTGTTTGGGTCGTTGATTTAACAAAGCGATAAGAGCCATATCACCACATTGTGAAGTAGAAGTAAGTCTGAATTGTGAAGAGGCAAATTATAATCTCTAAATTTACACTATTTAGCGTCGGTCTCATTAATTGATCTTTAAGTCTTCTTATTTGGCCCTCGCCTTCAATTTTTTCAGCTATCTTGTAAGTATGTACGCCTGACATCATGGCATACTCTGCACAGAAAAAAGGTTTTTTAAATTTAATATCATCAACCATTATTATCTTTGACAGATTTGATAAAGGTCATGCGATAATTCACTATACCTTTATTTTGTTCGATATTTTGTCATGAAGCCATATTTCACGTTTTACGATTGTCTTTTATTTAAGGCTCATAATATTATATTATATTATATTTTACGACCCTGTGATACATATATATTAAAATAACAAGTCCTAACGATATTTGGCAGTACACCAACAATTACCAGTATGAAACATTCTACCAGTATTTTACTTCTTTCGAACTTTTGGTGGGATACTGTATAATATTACCAAGTTCATCCTTGGTTGATTGCAAACACTCACATCAAATTTCATCAAAATCCGTCATGAATTGCTAGAGTGTTTACGAGCAACAAGGGCAATAACTCATACTAAATATTTTTCGATTTTTCTGATTTTCAGTAGGGTTTATCCAATTGTTGACGGACGGACCGACGAGCGGATATGGGTGACGACAATATACAAACCCCATTTCATGTGGGCGTATAAAAAGGTAATATCAATAAACTGTATGATTTCCCTCATAATATACTGTGACATTGCTTGAAATAATATACTTTTCTACGTTCTGGAAACGTGTTTTGTCTAATATAAAATCTTTTTCGACTTTTTTCAGGTGGGTCTGTTAATTATAATACAAATAGTAAGTAAACAATATTACCCTGAATGTAACCAAAACCACAGAAAAAAAGAAGAATCAAATTAAACATCCACATAATAAAAACCTGTAGTATACAAATATCATTTATTCAAAAGTAAAATATATCCTGCTTCAATCAAGGAAGAAAATAGTAGTCATAGCGCCATTTGACAGAATGCATAAGTATAGGTATGCAAAGGCAATGTCATTCTGTGAATGGGCATTTTTATATTGTACAACATACTACAAGACCAAACCGAGTGTTGCACGTCTTGTATAGACGGAATATTCTCCGGTATTTAAGTAATGTTCACAAAACATTATTGACTATCTGCATACCATGTCTGAGCTTATCTAACATAAGATAAAGTGCTTGGAAAGGGGTTTAATATAGACAAAGTCTGTTTGTTCCCCAAATCATTTCATAATGTACACCATTCTCTCAAGAGTCAAAATGATGATCAACTAAATTGTTGTCTTTTTGTCTGGAGTAGCAATATATATTTTTGACTAATAGTTTTAAACATAATATAATCTTATTTACAATCGTTTTGATTCAATCAATCGAGGAAGAAGATTAAATATATTGGGTTACATATACTATTTATAATGAAATTGGGACACATAATGCATCCTTTAGTCTTTCGATTCACGGTGAATCAGATATGGGATAAATCTTACATATTTTAAAGGTATACTACCTCTTGGGATTACTATCAAATTGAAATCTTGAAAATGGCCAAAATGAGTCTTTGTTCATCAGTAGACTAAATTGGTGTCAAAACTATACAACATAAAACATGAAATTTGAAACAAGTTTAGAAGTGTGAAGAATTATCGTGAATGTATGAAGATATTTTATTCTTTAGTCATGGCACCTAGTAAGTCCAACCGATGTAATTGCTACTCTTACTGATTAAGTTTGAGAATATAGATTTTAAACACATATGTTTTAATATTTAAAATGGAAACTTTTGTAAGCTTCATAAAATTTATCAAAAAATAAAAAATAATTCTCCCATTCACAAACAGTTACATTTATCTTGGTTTGAATCCAATTTGAACTTGACTTTTGACAAAGCAGAGTTTGTAACTTTAAATTTCGATATCTCAAAAGGAACATTGAAATGTATAATAAAGCACAACTAATAGTAGATTTTAAGCTACAGCGCTCTGATTTTCATAAATATTAATTTCTTCGTATGTTTGTTTTGGAGAATTTTCCATATCTAGACCTTCATATGTCTTATCATCAGATTCTACCGTTGTACAACGTCGTGAAGATGAAGTTGGTCTAGTTGATGGTGCTGTTTCTGTGGTGCCAGTTTCTTTTATAGGAGACCTTTTCTTGTATTTCAATATCAGCTGTCTGACGTTTATACCTGAAAAGTTAATACGTTAAAACAGACACAGTATAGAAGACCGGTTTGTAGAGGTGCAAAAGTCCATTTAAACCAATCTCGAAAAGCATGCCAAGTGAAATGCTGTAAAACAGTAAAAAAAATCATCACCAAATTCAAAACAGATTATTATTGTCTTGGTATTTTCAAAAGTGAAAGGTTTATGTTAGACAACGTTGAAAGATTGTCAAAATAACATCATTCTTGCACATTATTTTGAAAATCGGCGTAAAATCATCACAATAATCGATTAGCGTCATCTTTGTCTCAAAAAGATTAATAAAAAACTGTTTTCTGTAGAGCGAGCTCAAGATAAATGTGAAAAGATAGGCGGAAGGACAGACGGAACGTGTAAAAATTGTAGTAAACAAAGTGTTAATTCAGGATCAATCTCAGTACTACCACAAGTACGTAGATGTCTTCATCTGAAAGATTTTAAATATGGAATTTACCTGTTTCTCCTCGTATCTTCCAAATAAAGAAAACTATTACTACAATTACTCCCATAACCAATAGTCCAACAATAAATCCAATACCAATACCAGTACCAAGTTTATTGTCATTGTCGCCAGAACTACCATCTTGACGAACAGTATCAGGATCTTCTTTTAAAGTAAATACAAAAGAAATTTCCCCTTCTTTATTCTTTGCATACATAATATAGTTACCAAAATCCTGTTCAGTTATATTAAGAATATTTAAATATGACGTTAGTTTATCTGATTTTATTTTCATCCTCCAATCTGTTATTGGTTTCTCGGATTTATCTTCTAAAAGATATTTCCATGTAAAGTTCGGAACAGGATATGCCATGACTGTGGCTGTCAAGTTCACAGAGTCAGTTGAAGATGCTAATATCAGCGTTGTTGGCTTTTCTTTCAGATTTATTCTAGGAGAACCTGCAGGAGATATAGAACAATCGTTAGTTACATTGTATTACAACATTTTATTTATTCGAACATATGGAAACAACTAGCCACCGCAAGAGTAGCATTATGTGCTAAATTGATGAAATATTCAGAGGAACATTGCAATGAAATGTCGAAGTTTTAAATCAATTTTTAACTACATTTACTAAATTTACTGTATTTTAACTGCAATTGAGTCCATTGGACAACAGAGATGATGATGATGATGATGATACTTCTGATGATGTTGATGGTGCTGATGATGATCATCATGTAGGATCTGCATTCAAAAAATTTAAACTCACAATTAACATCTACTTGCTCTGTTTTCGAGGCTTTACTTCTAATACCATTTTCGGCCCAACATGTATATTTTCCTGAGTCCTCGCATTTAGCTTTTGGTATAACAAAATCTGATCCCCTGTTCATTTTTTCTACCCCATTGACAGACCATGTTATATTAGACTTAGGAAAACTATCAACTAAACATGATAACTTAACATCTATTCCTTCTTTTATTTCGCCTTTATTTGGTTCTAATGTTATGTTATTTATAGATGGTGGATCTGTATAATGAAATCATAAATTAAAAAAGCTAACTTAAGGCAAGAAATGTCAAATAGAATAAGTTAGCCACAATCATTCCAACGGAAAGCTAGTGTTTATGACAAAAAAATGTGTTGTAGTGAAGCCTTGTGCGCAGTCTGAAATGCAGCAACCCTGAAAGAGTATAGACGAGATTCCCTGTGAGAATATCGATATGCTGACACCTTTTATTAAAAAAACACAAGACAACTCACATTTAACTATCACTGACAAGGTTTTGTTGATAGACATTGTATCACAACCCCATGTACCATTATCTTCCTTGCTTGTCCCATTTATTGTTAAATTAAAAATTGTATTGTACCTGTTCACATTAACACAACCACAGATGTAATTTCTATTGTATATTGAGAAGTATCCAACATAAATTTCATCATCGCACATAAAAGAAATAGCTACATGGTCATATCGACAAATAGTAAGATTATTTCGACGAATATAAATTCGGTCATAAAATATATGGCGCTCATCACTCTCTATATTACAGATTAAGTTAAACTGGCTGCTTATTGTGGTACTTTCTGAAGAACTCTTGAAATATATGGTGGTATTTTGAGCTGCAATAGAAAATAATTATATTTAAGTAAGGAGTTTATGTTACTACACGTACATGGGGTACAATGTATATAGATATGATTGCTTTTTCTTCCAATTGTGTCAATCGAAAATGTGAAAATATAGTTTTTAAAGAAAATATTAACGATTCCACGAATATAAAGTTTTTCTTTGATACTGTTTATGAAAGAGTATTTTTATTTTTTATTTCGTGTAAAAATTACACATTGTACATCTACTTGTGGTACAAAACATGGCAATTACCATGCTAAGGCCTGAAGCCAGACCTCATTGTCCGAGGGCAAGTAATATATCTGGAGGGTGTATGGTGTTCACTTGCTGTAACGAAATTGGTCGGTTGTAGCCACCTGTAGCTACAGTCCCCGCCATGTTTATCAGATCAAATATTAATTCATCGAAAATATGACATTGACATACGTGTTAGTCTTTCTCAGGCGTTGGATAAGACAAACTAAGTTTAATATTGTAAATATTATTACCATGAATATATCCAAAACCACAGACAAAAAGTAGAATCCATTTTGTTATCCACATCATTCAAAGAACAATATATACGCTCAATGTCGTCCGAAATGCACAAATTTTGCATTGCATATTAACGTTTTAAGATTGAATCAAGGAAGTAATTTCCATGTTTAAATTTTATTCATGACAAACCCTTGATATCGGGTTACTATATATTATACAAACATAGAAATCTTACTATTTTAAGACTCACAATTTCAGTTATAAATTCCCTCATTGGATCTATTCGATGCGCTTCACTGATGCCCTGAGTTAACACAAGTATTGTTTCTAAAACGTACACATAAACAATGTGGACTTATGAAAGCTTAATTAGTCTTCAAACCGGCTTATCTGCTTCTAAAGAGGTCATGAGAAATTTCGTCTGGCCAGCAACATTTACCAACTCGGTACCAACTTGGGAATAGTAGTATTTGCGAGGATGTTAACTGATGTTGCAAGTTTTCAGCGACTATCATGAAAATATTTACTTATGTTTGATAAATAGCTTTAAAGGAAAAGGGATTATTTGAATTAGTGAACTGAGTCGTGCAGTCATTTCCAAGGACATCATTTCACATTGATTTCACAGAATAATAATGACATCAGCTTATATGCACGTTCAGGCAAACAATATGTACTCTTGATAAATAGCAAGGAGTTAAAAGGGAGATAAATGTCAAAAATAGTAGAAATAGACCACAAATTGCAATTTGGTGATCTCAGACGTAAAAATAAATTTTTACGTACTTCTTTTCTGCACCATGTGGGATAATGAAGACGGGCAACGGCAAGCAGGGTGCAGTAAGGGAAATTTTGCCAGGACAGTCGCATCAGCCTGCTCTTTATTCGATTTCAATGTGTCTTGGGATGTGTGAGTCACCGGGGATCTCGATCTCAGACGTAGAAAATAACATTAGTAAAGACATCTGCGTTATGCACAATTCACAGATAAAAGATTTGGTTTTTTTAAAAGAATATTTTTTTATTTAAAAGAGAAACAAACTCGGATATTATATCTAAAACTAAAATAACAAAATAAAAAAAAAAACATTGCATTCAATAATATCATAATTTAGCTTATATCACAACAACTTGTTGCATATTTAATTTTGATTACAAATTTTGCTTTTTTAGTGTAACGTGTAATGTATTCATTATTAATAAGAGAAACCGAATCATGCTCTGTATTAATTAATATTATAAAATTTAGATTATATTACAATTATTGATATTATCAATTTTAAAATATGAAAAATAAACAATCATTTATTCATTGAGATGAAAATTACTAAAAATAAGCATATGAATACATATAAGACTAATATAAAATATAATACTAATACAATATATAATAAAAGTAAGAATAAATAAATGAGAACGTACCATCGTAAGAAAGATAAGAATATAAGCAAAGATTAAAATCAATATACCTTGTGTACAGTAGTTTATTGTGATAAATCTATGATAACACCTTCTGTAATAGTCTACTTTATAAAATTCGTTCAGAGCAACAAAATATTTAGAAACGCCCACCGGTTGTCCCAATAATACTTTAAATATGCGAAAATACAGCAGATACCACAACAAGAATTGCATCAACAATTTTCAAAAAATTTGGTTATTGTAGAAAAAAAACATTTAAAAAAAATAATCTGAATAAAATGCAAATCTGGATGTTGCGTTTCTTGATTTTGTGTAGGTTATTTCACTTACCATTCAGGATCTCAGAAAATGGTATGAATGTCAAAATCAAAATCCTGGTCAATCAAGGATTTACTGACCATATAGTTTGAAATTCTAGGATATTTATTCTTAAACATTGTATGAATGACCTGTCCTTGACCAATAAACATTCAACAAATTAAACATCTTTTCAATCAAGGATTACCAAACATTAACCTGTATTGATATTCAACTTTTAACTGTGTTTATATCATAATCTCTAAGTGACATTTAGAAGTAGACAGAACATTAAATAATGAACACTATTATGGATATACTACTCCTTCCTTTAATTTTTGCAACGTTTCAATTCACACACAGGAATCTTTATCAAGCACAAAATAATAATGATAGGAAAACAGAACAACAATAACATATATATAGTAAATAGTGAAGGCTTTTCTTTGAAAAACTGGAAAAAACCACTATATTTCAATATATCCATAGCTTTACTTAAGTTATTACATTCTCCAGCAATATCAAAATAGTTGAATTTTGGAATATTGTTTAATAATGAATATAAATTGAAAACAAATAGGTAAAATGCAAAAAAATGCATATAAAATCTATATAAAATACAATATTAACTATCACGGACTCTCCGTTAGTGATACCAAGATGACAATGTGTCCAATGGCTTAAGAGGGAGTTCCGAACACGGCCTCGTAGGTAAACGGTAACAGGAAACAATTTATGTTACCACCTGATTTTCATAAATTTCTTGTTCCTCATACGCTTGCTTCAAAGAAATGTTAGGAAGTAGACCTTCGTATGTCTGATCCACTCTAGGTTGAGTGGAATCTAAACCTTCATAAGTTGCATCTGGTATTTTGTCAAATTTAACTGCTGCAGTCTGTGTAGTTGATGGCTTTCTAGTAGTTGATGACGTGTCTGCAGAACTAGCTCTTCTTGGAGGTTTTTTCTGGATTTGAAACATCTCCTTAAAATTCACGCCTTAAATACATATCATAAAAAACATATTTTAATTAATGAGGATGTTAAATTGATACCAGGTGTTCCAGAGGTGTGAGCTGCTCAAGAACTTTTAAATCAGAATAAGAAAGAGCAATATCTGCCCTATAACATCCAATTCTGATCAACGGTAAGCTTCCTTAAAACACAATGTATATTATAGCAGTTTTCCAGTTTCAACAAAGTAAGCATTATCTCAAAAGCCCAATGACGAAAATCAATGAAATTGCAATTGCAAGTACAAATGGTTCCAAACTTTCACAAGTCCGATGTGATAAATGTTGCAAAAGAACAAAAAATGTTGCAGCACCAAAATAATCAGACTAAGAAGCATGGCTTCAGTTAAATTCATAGATAGAAAGGTACAATAATATCAATCAAATTAATATATTTAACAATGTGAACTATTAACATTGGATTTACCTGTTTCTCCTCGTTTCTTCCAAATTAAGAAAACTATTACTACAATTACTCCCATAACCAATAGTCCAACAATAAATCCAATACCAATACCAGTACCAAGTTTATTGTCATCAGCCTTCTTCAGAATGAATTTGAAAGACGTTGAATCCAAAACATTTGTAGCATACATAATATAGTAGCCATAATCATATTCCTGAATATCAGGTATATGCAAGGAAGATGTCAGTTTATCTGACTCAGTGGTTATTCTATGATCTGAAATTATTTTCTCTGTTTTATCTTCTAAAAGATATTTCCATGTAAAGTTCGGAGCAGGATATGCCATGAGTGTGGCAGTCAAGGTCACTGAGTCTTCCAGGGAAGCTATCATCTGTGTTTTAGGCATCTCCTTTGGATTTGCTCTCGGTGGACCTGCAAGAATAATAACATTGCAAATGACTTTATTAAAAAGCTTACGAAGGATTTCTAAAGAACGTTTTTACTTGGTAAGATTTATTTGACCGAGTTTGAGCAAGAAGTATATGCAGCCACAATTTTGATTGCCCAAGAAATCTCCAATCATTGTCATCTATGGGATAACCTTGTACATGATCTCCCCTCTAATATTTGGGAAGTCAAAATCCGGGATATTGCTGCCAAAAAGCTGTCATCAGGACAGTAAGTTTTGAAATAATGCGTTAACATGTTAATGTAAGTCAACAGCAGGTTTTCTATAGAAGTATATATTATGAGATAAAAAAAAATAAAAGCCTGGTCTTTTAAATATTCATATCATGTAACGTTTTGTTTTTCTGGGCCTTCCGCTATTAATTTATTCCACGTGGATTGGTTGCAGGTCTTTTGCAACAATATAGTACTTTTTCAGTCAACCAATAAGAAACGCAATGGAAGTAAAGTTAGAGCTTTAAATATCCTAGTATGATTGGAATATACTGTATATATCGGTCGGTCTAAATTGTTCCTGTTATCTAATGCTATAACTTTCTTATTTAGAATTTCATAAAATCAAAAATCCCAACCATGATTCGGTGTTTACAGCATACTTAGGAGACTTGAATGATTGTAGAGAGATCTTCTACATTTGTTATGTGTATCATGTGCACCATTCCATGTTTCAATCGGTGGTTCCTTCAATTCCACTAAAACTTCGAGTATGGTGACGTCACTAATCGCACAATATGGTTTAACACAATAGGCCCTTCGAGATTAGTGTGATTTAGTGGAATTGCAGGAACCCTGATACACATATAAATTTAAGAAAACCTTTTTACAATCCCTTTAACTGCTATTCATATTATTATGAATAGTCATTTTGACATAAGCCTAAATCCTCAGTCAGAATCTGCATATTCAGTATCCAAATATATATATTATTTTTAACAACATTATTGAGTTCGATAAAGCTTATACACTTTAAAAAAAATATCTAAAGCTTGGAGCTTACAATAGACATTTACAATATGTTCTTTCATTGCGCTATTACCAACAATATTTTGAGCAATACATTTAGCTACATATCTCCCACCGTCTTGACAAGTAACATTTTCTATCACTGGTCTTTGATTGTCTACCACTTTCCCATTAACAGACCATGTTATATTAGACTCAGGAACACTGTCAACTGAACATGATAATTGAACACTTGATCCATCTGTTATATTTTCGCCATTGGGCTTTGTTGTTATATTCTTTATGGAAGGTAGATCTGTAAAAAAATGAGACAGAACATAACGATCACAGGATAAGTAAACCAACCACAAAACGAAACCCGAAATCCAAAAGAACATTTTTGCGAAACATTGGTAGCAACTTTTCACATAAGGAAGTATATCAATCATAAGTGAGTAAGTATTTCATAATGAAGAGTGGTATCAGGTGACTAGAGCATACCCTACCTGAGGACTGAGATCAAATACCATTTTAAGAACAACGCATAATTATGTGTCATGTGATGTCTACATTCTTAATAATTCATGAATGAAATACACTCAACAGTGTTGTAATCCTTGTAAGACATTTAGAAGTATCACAGGTCACTTGATAACGTTACCTGTATGTGTAATGAAACGTTGTGTTCAATAAAAAATAGAAGTCTATATCCATAAAAACTGTTGTTTCTTAACTCAACAGTGTTCTTCCGATTTATGTGATATGGCCTTACTTACTATGTTATTTTGGCGTGGATGAAAAAAAATATACATTACCTAGTTTGTACGCTACATGCTTGATATGTACAGCCTGTATCCACAATTTTGCTATAGCAGGCTAGTAATAGATAGGTTTGGAAAAAGACAATAATTCTAACTAATAGTTACTGTTATTGAACATTATATCAGAATAATAATAAGATACTTTGCAGTCTAGATGCCTATACATACGCAAATTGTAAAGTTCTATGATTTAACATATCATATATGTTTTTTTGGCTATTTTTATATGAAAAAATAATTGTTATTAACTGATACTATTTTTCAGTTTTGTCAGTTCACTGCATTATTAATTTAAAATTGAGAAAACTATTTACTCACATTTAACAACTAATTGTAATTCTCTGATTTGATTTGCACTACAAACCCATATACCATTATCTTCCTTTCTGGTCTTATTTATTATCACAGTAAGACTCGTTCCTAAGTCGGTAGTCTTAATACAACATTCGTAATATTTCCTATTACCATACAACATTCTTCTTCCAACATGAGTTGTATCACACTTTTCCTGGGGGGGCCCATGTGTGAATGTACAGATACGTGAACCATTCCTTCCAATATACATACTCGAAGTTGAGTTATCAAAACTACAGGTTATGTGAAGCTCTTCTCCTTCGGTGGTATTCTCTAAAGAACTGTTAAAATGAATGATTTTCTGTGCTGAAATAGATATGTTAAATAAAATAAATGTAAACTGATATATATTACTTGTTTAATTCTAAGTCTGTGCAAAATAATAACTAGCATTTTAATATTCAAAGAGTTTCAATGAATTTTATTTTTCCAAGAACAAAGAATAATATAATATTACCACTAATAGCCAAAAAAACACTCAAGAGGATAATCCATTTCGACATCCACATGTTGGTAAAAAAAACTAACTAGTGTATTTGAACTGTACTATATCAATATATGTTCTAATTAAACGAAATGAAACAAGGAAGAAATTACAGGAAGGAAATTGCGTGTATCTTTACATGTAGAAGGTGACAATGATAAACCAATCATTTTTACATGTTATTCTATATATATAATCCGGATATCAGTTTTTAATTTGGATTTATTTACAACTGAACATCATCATGCATGTAATTTCACTATATAACGCGACTATAATTAGAGTTGTAACACATGATATTATTATTTTTACCACAGCTGACGTTTGAGTTAAAAAATTTCCAAGAATTGTTTGTTTGCAGGAAAGGCTGAAAGAATAACTGTTAAAGCGCTTGAGTTTGATTATTATCCATTACTTTTGGTATTGCACATGCAATTAATCGTGGTTGGTGGATCGATCAATTGAAATCTTAACATCCTAGGATTATTAGTCTATTGCAACAAAAAAGTATTGTAATATGCTTAGGAATTATCCACCTCCTGTGACGTCATCCCATGGTTTTGGTGAATATCATTACGTCCATTCTTAAATAATCCCAGGGATATTACGCTTGAAATCCGAGATGTGTATCAATATTTTATGTTTGAACACAGAAGGCATTATCAAATACAGTTTTGCCCAATTGTCAACAGCTGAATTGACCACGTTTGTACATACGAGTTGCACCCCTTTGCTAGAAAAACGTCTCTTTCCAGAGAATGTCTTGGATTTATATAGAGATCACTTTGGTAAACTCTGGTGGAAATTCTCAAGCAATCTGCTTTATCTTACATTTGATATTGGTATTGTTTATAAGACTAGGTTAAAGGGGGTGGGGTGATATTGGTATTGTTTATAAGACTAGGTTAAAGGGGGGTGGGGGGATCTTCATCTTTCTCCGACTCGAGAAACTCCCCAGTACCTGGGGTAATCTTTACTTGGATATTAAGGCCAAACCCATTGTGAACTGTCAAAAGCTCAAGTTATCTAGTAAGTCTAAGTCACTGGATGATGAAGTCATTAAGTCTTGAAGGCACGAGTTTTCCCTCTTATTTCATTATTATATATTATATACAAAACCCAGAAAATTGGTCCTTCTTTGCTTATAATTCAGATGAAAGATTTCCTTCGGATTTAAATATTTAGAACCATTTAGATGTGGAACTTTAAATATCATTAACAAAAACCTTAGCTATGATTATCCTATACATTATTCACTAAATTCGCATAATAAATTTACCTCAGACATTTTTATATTGACGGTGAGGGGTAACGGGTTTGCATAACGTAGAAACGAGACACGAAGGGTTAGAAATAATACAGACCAGCAGCCTGTCGACTTCTACAACAAAATCCTGTTACCTCCCTTTATACTGAACTTAAGATAAAAGGAAGATGATAATTAAAAATAATAATTTTTGTGCTGCGCCAAAGGTAAAATTTAACTTAACTCTAGTGTTTGGGTGGATTTTATGTCTTATATCAAAATTCCGGAGATTTCAGATATTATATATAATACCGGGGTAACTATCTAAGCTATTTATGCAAGAAGGTCTAATCAAATAACTCCATGCTAGAGTTGGGCGATATGGGTTTTTTGTGTATCACGATATAGACAATTTTTTATCACGATAGGTTCAAATCTCTTAATAAGGAAAAATGCGAATAAAACAACGTAAGTATTCATTCGCTGACACTACAGGCCTTTATGTGGAAATATTCTTACGCTTACCCTGAAATTTTTTCAAACCGGTTTCCACGGACAATCCATGTACAACTGCGAATGAGACAATAAATCGAGTGCTACAATTTGTGTATGTTATGGCTACCAACACATCTGGAAACAGAATAGGCTAGTACTGTCTTCTTCTAATTTATCTTATTACACACTGACTGGTTTTGTTGGCCATCATAAGCCAAAATTCAATTTCATTTCGTTTCCAATATATTTTCTCTTTTTATAGTTCTTTTCATATTGATATATTGCCACTGTCAGGTTCTATAAAATCACATTATCTTTTTAATCTTGAGGCATTGTAGCTGATTAGTTTCTAAAAATGATCATTAAATAGCCAAATAAGATTCACACTTATGGTTTCATATCAGCTTTTCTTGTGCGTTTCGCTTTCTCTGTTTAATAATCTAGAACATAATTATTTTAGATTAAGAAACCATATGGTGCTCGACTGAATATATAGCATCATAATTTTAATAAAAATCAAAAAAAATCTGCGCTTTAATTGGCGAAGATGAGAACACATAGAAAAACACTTAATTAATTATATGTAAAATTTTATCATAATATCATTATCAAATACCTAACCACAACTCATCCCATCTCAATAAACAGTCCTTGTGTCGGTAAAACACCCTTACATTGCCAATGGTTACTCATTTCTACCGACGTAATCTGAATTTGTTTGAATGCAAGAAACAATTGCTCATTTACAAACTACTATATTAACGTTATATTTATTTTGTAACCATGTCACGTATAGTAACGACATCGTTTTAACTGATCCTTTTCAATTCAAATCAATGAATTATCTCCATTTGAGGTAGGTCGACGAATTTGAACCCGAATAAACCGAAAGTATTCCTCTTGTAATGGTCAATTAAAAAAAAAAAGAAATCCAAAACAACATATTGGTAATAAGTTCTGCTGGTTACAGCTTATGCACTATTGGTATAAGGAAGTACATCAATGAAAAATGCAGTATTTCATAATGAAAAGTGGTATCAGGGATCTAAATGCAGATAAGCAAACATGCCCTTTCTGGCGCCCCATTCGCTCTATAGATGGTTGATTAGTCTTGTGATAGAAGCCTGAAGTAGTTGAAATAATGCTGTAAACAGACAACGTTTTAAGTTAAGATCGACTATTTTTAGACAATAATTCCAAGTATAAATAAGATATTTTTAGTAAAATCTGTAGGGAATACTTCACCGAGAATAATCGTCGTAAATCGACTAGCTCTTTGGACAAATCCTATTGTATCGAGGAAATTGCCATTATAGTAAGTTGTTCTAAGACTAATGACTGACCAAGTTCTTACACGATACATGTGGGTCAAGTTTAAAATCGTGTCAATGCTCTGTTTTGATTTTGTCAAAAACTTTAACACCAAAGAGTTTGTTTTCCTTGGAAGTGGTGAAATGATGCACTTTTCTAAGTCAAGAAGCTATCACAAAATGAATATACACGCTTTTTCTTAAAATCGAATTGGGTATCTAACAGCATCTAAAATGACAAACTTGACATGGAAATGAAATGAAAGTTACAAATTGTTCTTGGCTTCAAACTCGGTCCCTCCGGTCATTTTATGGAAATCCATCACTATAATCTCATTTTGATGTGAAACCGATTGAACACAAGGTCAATAGAGTAAGATAGTGAGTAGCCGCATAGAAAGTTTTGATTAAACCAACGGGTATTGAATGTCTTAAATTGTTTAAGAATGTGAAGTTACCAGATAATGACCTTTTCACTGTCTCAACATCCACTCGAGGCGTCATTACATTATTGATATTTTTCCATTCCTCTAGCAATTAAAGGGACAAATGCGCCATTTTTTTTTGGGGGGAGGGGGGGGGTGTCGAATTTAGTATTGAATATATGTAAATAGTCTTCAGAAAGTTGCATAATTCCTTTTAAAACACTTCAAACTAGGGATTTTACTCACTATTTTCTATAATGCATTTTTACATTTGTGCCTGTTATGCCATTGGAAGTTTTTTTTTTCTTTTTGTATATACGTTGACACTATTTTCTCCACATTGCCCATACTTTATTAATATTGACAAAACTTCAATCTGAGATCGTTTCCCAATCCATGCTCCAAATCGATAATTACGCTCAGACAATGAAAGGACACTGTAATAAATCACAAAATTTCCATCAAGTTACATGATTAGAACATAGACAGCTAAGTCAAAAACTTGGCGTTCAAAATCGTATAAATTTTTACCCGGAAATCTCTTCGAAAACAAGACAATAATGTAGCTCCCAGAGATTATTTTTTGAAACTCTTGTGTACAAAAAAATGCTATCGTAAATAATATGTAAATTTGACTTTGTTAATATAATGTTGAGAATATACATATGATCTTCGATATATATATACATTTACCTAATGTTACTTATGTTATGAAACAAACAAAAAAACACTTGGTTCAACAAGTGACCAATTAAATGCTTATGGCAAGGTACCATAATTAGATATCCTTCACATTACACTATGGAATACATGAGGTATTTTAAGACCTTTGAAATTGAATGAAATTCTAGAACTTGAAGTCAGAAAAACTCTAATTTAAAAGAAAGTCATTTGAAGATGTCTGTAAGCAATGTATTAATTAGATTATCTGGAAATTTGTATGGTTCTACTAGGCGAATTGTGTATAATAACCTTACAGATCTTGTAATCTGACATATTTTAATGGATACAGCAAGCGTATTAATTCTGTTTTGTGGTCTACTACAATGTTTACTCTATTGGCCATTGTCACCAATTGGTGAGAACACAGAACGCTTGCTTCCGGGTTTCATGTCTTTCATGTACATCACTCGAATCGCAGATAACGTTGCCAAACTCTTAGTTATATTCCATATCAAAATGTCTAAAAGGTTTCGAAATACATTTGATATGTCCTTTAATACCACGTCTATTTCATGAACAAATACAGAAAGATCAATCCATTTCGTAATGTGTCCTTTTGCTGATCACTAGAAAGGTATATCTAAAATAATCATTATGTGTACTTTTTGCATTTCGTTCTACATTTATTCCTTTAGAATGGTATCTCTGGAAGTACTCATTTATTCGGGAATGGGTCCTGGAAAAAGAAAAAAAACTTATCCGAAAAACCTATTTCATTCTTTCTAATCCAAATACTCATATATTCCTTAGGAATGGTTTTGGATAAGACATAATTTATATCTGGAAGTACTCATAATCCTTTGGCGTGGGTTAGGATAAGACAAAA